AAAGCATCCAAATGTGAGTAGATAAGTAGTGGGAAGGTTCTGTGTGCCACATGACCACAGAAGCTGGCTCTCTTGGCTAAGAAATGGAGATGAGCACCAGCCTCTAGAGCAGGTGTAGGCAACCTTGGCTCTTTTATGACTCGTGGACTTCAACTCCCAGAATTCCTGAGCCAATCTGGCTCAGGAATTCTGGGAGTTGAAGTCCACGAGTCATAAAAGAGCCAAGGTTGCCTACGCCTGCCCTAGAGTCTTGCCCAACTGGACAGGGGAAATGTTTATCTTTACCACTGCTAGTACATAGAGCAGTGGTTCCCAACCTTTTCTACACCCCGCGCCCCTAGAACGCTTCTGATATATTCTCGCAACCCTTACAAAAATAATAGCTGGTTATGCATATATACACTATAATTTTGAAACTTCTAAACCCAAGTTTTCGCATCCCCTGGAATATCGGAATATGCGAGCACCCCCAGTTGGGAACCCCTGATGTAGAGGTACCAGGCTATGCGAATAAGCATCTGATATATAATGTCTCCTTATTCTCTGATTATCCCAATGCAGCTAGAAGTATATGTTAGATTAGCCTTTCGGTGAACCTCATTCTTCTATGCTTGTTTATAAGTTCCATTCAGCCTAAATACTCCTTAATGTTAATTGAAAGCTTCCTGTTTGGCTATGGTTTTTCCATCTGCTTTATTGTTCTCTGGCTAGGAAGATGAGTGATTACCCTTTATATAATCAGCTTTTGTTCTTCCGGTAGTGGGCAGCGGCTGGAAGGATGGATAGAGCTTGATATTGGGGAGAAAGCAATCAGTAGCTGAAATATCTCCCCTTGCAACTATCACAACCTAAATGAAGAGCAACTAACTTGGTAATTTCTCAGGTCTGAGCAATTTAGGAGGAGGAATAAACAGGCTGCCTCAGGCAGGAATGGAGCTGACTTCACTTAATAAGCAGAGTTAGAATTCATTTGTTAGGAAAAATACTGGCTTTTTGCATTGCAGGTAGTAAACTAGGAAATAAGTTAGACTCCAGGGTTCTAATTATAATTCAACTGAAATAGCACTATATTCTTTTTCTATTTATCTTCCTCTGCATCTCCCTACCCTTCTTGTCTTTCCTGCAAGCATCTTCAGTTTCTTAATACCTGCCCTAACTTTGCTATATAGGTGAATCACTTTTATGCCAAGCAAACTTCATACTTTCCATAGAACTTAGTGCAAAGTCAGAGACCCAGGTATATCCTCTCTCCCAAACTCTGTATATGTCACCTGGCTATAAAGACAGGAACACAGTTAGTCCCTGTTCAGTTGCCTGTGATCTGCAGAGCAGATTATCTTGTCTCTGAAAATGCCGACTGCCACAATTGCCAATAAAACTTCAGGAAATCCATGGTCACTAAACCCTGAAGCTCAACACTTGTGGGGTCCTTGGTGTTCCCTGAGTTTATTGGTTTTCTTGCAGACATTTCATTACCAAACTAGGCAACATCACCAGTGCTATAAGGGAGGCAACATTGCTCTTGTCAATGTTGATGGGAGTTTTGCTTTGTCAATGTTGATGGGAGTGTTCTTGGTGGTTCCTTGATTAGATTTATTTACTGTTAGCTTGTTTGTCTGGATTGGTAGTTCCTGGATTAGTAGTTCCTGGGTTGGTAGTTCCTTTATCTCTGCCAAATGTCATCCAGCTTTTTCACAGAGTAATGAAGGACACTTGCCCCTAGAGTAGCATATGGGAGTGCCTTATCCAAACAATGGTTCAGTACTTCGATTGATCAGATGATCAGATGAGCTGATAGCTTTGCTCAAGGTAGCCAAATAAATTAATCCCAAATTTTATTCCTATATTTTGAGTTCTGGGCCTCTCTGAATCATCAAAAGCTTTCTTCACACCAATAATACAATCATGTTTAAGTTGGCCGAAGGAGAAAATCATTCAATGATGGAAAAGAACATTATTATCTAATTGGTTTATTTTTAATGAATTTCAAATCCAGTGAATTGAGTGTTTGTGGTACTCTTTTCTGCAGTATTGAATGACTTCACTCCCTCCCTTCTTAAGTCCAGCCCACAACGCAAAAAAATGTTGCCCACTTTTGTTGTCAAATCTATTGTTGAAAAAATCCAGTTATGATTCCTCAAAGTGCAGTAGAATGAATTTCCAGACCATTTTTATTGACCGAATCAGGAAATTGGTGAGCTGTATCTCTCGTCTTGTAGACTCTGATTCTGGGCTTATGGCATTATTTTCCAGCCCATCAAACAGCCAGCTGGGAATAATTTTCTAGCCTTGGCACCTCTGGTTTTCCAGAATCAAAAGAGAACTTTGCCTTTCCTAGTTCCTTCTGTGCAGAAGAAAACAAGTGAGACGTTTCCTTATTGTGTCTCCCCACTTGGCTCTCCAGTTTTCTATGTCCCAAAGGAGGAAAATAAGATTAAAAGAAAAAAACACTTTGGTCTCAGCACATCCTTTCCATAGCTAGGATTCTTATCCAGCATTTATATTCAAGCTATGAACTTTGAACAAAATACTAGGTTCTTTCTGATTTTTTTCAGAGATTTGAATAAATCTGTACTTAGTTCTGTCACTCAGTAAGGCGCATACACCTTGGCAACTTGAAGATGTGTGGACTTTAACTCCCAGAATTCCCAAGCCAGCATATGCTGAATGGAACTTATAAACAAGCACAGAAGAATGAGGGTCACTGAAAGGCTAATCTAACATATACTTCTAGCTGCATTGGGATAATCAGAGAATAAGGAGACAATACATATCAGATGCTTATTCGCATAGCCTGGTACCTCTACATCAGGGGTTCCCAACTGGGGGTGCTCGCATATTCCGATATTCCAGGGGATGCGAAAACTTGGGTTTAGAAGTTTCAGAATTATAGTGTATATGCATAACCAGGTATTATTTTTGTAAGGGTTGCGAGAATGTATCAGAAGTGTTCTAGGGGCGCGGGGTATAGAAAAGGTTGGGAACCACTGCTCTATGTACTAGCAGTGGTAAAGATAAAGGTTTCCCATGTCCAGTTCGGCAAGACTCTAGGGCTGGGGTAGGCAACCTTGGCTCTTTTATGACTCGTGGATCCACACATCTTCAAGTTGCCAAGGTTGAGAAACATTGGCATACACTGTTGTAGTTCTGAGCATCTTCAAACCGTTTGTTAGCAGTCTGGGAAACTTGGTAGTATCTTTGGCAAAGACTATATAATTTAGTCAAATTTTCCTGAAAATTTGTTGTATTGTTTTGTTTTGTTTTGAAGAAAACTGTTGTAAGTCGAGAACAATACTATAAAAAAAATCAATGTAGGTAAAAAGATGGGGAGGGAGAAAGTATGATGAGAATCGGGGGTGGGATCTATTGTTAATCTATCAACCACCACTAATGTGATACCCCCTCCCCTCCTTCCCCTCCTCCTTCTGTAGTGTTGAAAGAAAATTCTTCAGCGTGATTCAGTCTAAGCTGGGAATAAACATGGTGACTGCTTTAGGAAGAAGGTTGTAGTTTATTGAAGAGGAGAGCCAGACAGGAAGATGGTTCTGGCAGAAAAGAGAGTAAAAAAAGGGGCTGAGCACATGTAGGGAGTGGGTTTTTATATCCTCTGGAGCCTTTTGTTTTGAGTTGTTTCCTGTTCCTGTGGCATGAACTTTGACCTGAGTCTGAGTGAGCTTTTCTGGTATTCTGATAGTGATGGGTTAATCCTATTATGACCCAAAGGTCATATCCTGCTTCCCTGGTGCTGGGGCTAATGACTCTTAGAGTTTGGGTGAGGTATGCAGACTTTAGGTGTCTTTGTCTTCTTAATCTCCTAGCTTCAACCTTCCTGATGGTTTACATATGCATTTGTACAGAGCTGGCTTCTGCTTGGGGGAGGGAGACCTGGGGCTATCAAAGAAAACTGGGCATGCTTTTCTGCCTCTTCAAGATCCTTTGAGGAAATATATTTTCCTGCCCTTTAAATATTTCCTTCTCTGGGGGGCTGACTTCCCACAGTAGGACAGCAAACAGATGAAAGTAACTGGGCAAGAACCCCAGCTAAAATTCTGGAACCATGAAACAGTCCCCAAAGAGGAACATTTGTAGACTAATGTTCCAAAACACTGTTGCCTTCTTCATGGGCCTATAAAGAGCAATCCAGCTTTCTGAGGAAGGGCTTCTTCTCAAGGGGGGGAGGCAACTCAGCAGTCCAAGATTAGATGGCTTCAGAAGGCAGATGGGATTGGGCTGGGCTGTAACAATGTACACCAGCCAGTTGGATGGAGGTGTTGCGTACCATGAAAAGGAAGCACCATAGCAAGGCCCAAGTACCATTGCTTGTGTGAATGGAAGTCAGAACACACTCTTTTGGATAGAGAAGAGAAGTTGGGCCCAGTTTTCCTTCTCTGTGGGTCAAAAGTGGGTTGAGAATGGCATGTGGATTAACTTCCTTAATAAGCAGTTAGCAGGAACCTTTGTTCCAACATGTGGTTGAGTCTTAATAAGTGCAATAGGATCGTGTCATGTACATGGCAGAGTCAGGGTTTTAAATTTTGTTTTTTGCTTTTGTTTTTGTGAATTAGGAGAAATCAGTGCAAAACTGCCCAATGGTAGCAAACCTTGCCCTTCATTTTTAGCACTTATGTTTCCCATGGCTTTCAAAGCCTTAAAAACAGGATCAGATTGCCTATAAAAACAATAGTATGTGCTCGTTACCCAAACTCAGATTTCCTCATTTACAACTTTTCAAAGCTTAGACAAGTTGGTTGAGGGTGGGTTCCTTTGCATTTAAAGTTGGATAAACGAGTTAGAGGAAACATCTTTAATTATTCGTTAACTTTTGGCAAATTGGAATGGAAGATGATGGGACTCTTTCTGCCAAGGGGCCCTTCTGATTTCACTAATATATGAGTGAAGAAATTCTTACATTTATTTAGTTATATACATGGCAGGGGAAGCTTTTATTATCTACAGTCATATATATATCCTTATATGTATTGTTCTTTTCTCCTTTTCAGTACAGGTAGCAGTGACCCCTACTGTATTGTGAAAATTGACAATGAAACAATAATTAGGTAAGCCAGAGCACTTTTTTTTCTTTGCCTTGTAGAACTTTAAAAAGACCACAGTCAAAACTTACCAGAATGGTATATAACTGTGGTGGCGAACCTATGGTATGTGTGCCACAGGTGGCACGCAGAGCCCTCTCTGTGGGCACGCGTGTCGTCACCCCAGTCCTAGGCCTTCAGCTGGGTTTTATAAAGCCTTTTCGCTTTAGGCCTCTGCCACCATGTGCAAAAGAAAAAAGGTTCAATCAATCAATCAATTTTAACTTCTCGTGGGAAAAAAAGATCTCGCAAAGTTGGAATTGATTGATTGAATTTTTTAGTCCCCCCCAATCTGCCATTACCACCGCAGCTGTGCCCACCCAATGGGCCATGCCCACCCAATGGGCCACATCCACCCAGCATCCAATGATACATAAGTGGGTTTGGGGTTGCAGTTTGGGCACTCAGTCTCTAAAAGTTCGCCATCACTGGTATATAAAGTTTACCTTCCCCCAAGCTCTCAGAGCAGGGCTACAGATGTTACATTACAGCCAGTCCTCAACATATTACTACAATTGGTACCGGAAATTCCATCACTAAGCAATGCGGTTGTTAAATGAGTCACGCATTTGATTTTATGATTTTTTGCCGCTGTCGTTAAGTGAAACATATGGTCATTAAAAGCAAATCTAGCTGTCCCTATTGATTTTCCTTGTCAGGAGAACCCTGGGAAAGTTGCAAATAGCGATTATGGGATCCAATTGTCATAAATACATGCTAGTTGCCAAGCACCAACTTTTGATCATGTGATCACAGGAATCCTGTGACAGTCTTATGTGCAAGTACTGTTCAAACCATGTTTTCATCACCATTGTAATTTTGGACGGTCACTAAATGAATGGTTGTAAACTGAGGATTATCTATTTGTCATGCCCACATGTACAAGGTGTTATGTGACTTCCGTCCAATCCCATATCTCGGAGGGTGGAACGTTTCTGTTCTGAATTGTATATCTCTATGTAACCCTACTTAAGGAGACAGCACTTAACCCAATATATGCCAGATATTTTAACATACAGATACATGCTCTCTAGGTAGGGTTTCATAGAGATATACAATTCAGAACAGTTTCTCTATTTTCACACAGTGTGTACCTTGTGATATGTTTTCAATCACATAGCTCGCCAGAAGGGCACGTACTACCTGCCCAGTTTCATTCTTACAGGGAATTCTCAGATGTAATTAGTCATAGATGAACTTCTGGCTTCCAACATCTGATGAGTCCCAATAAGGATGAATCATGCAATGTTTGCCTTCTGGTGCTCTGTGGAACTGAATTTAAAATCCAGCCTAAAAAGGCACCTGTTGTTTCACCAGCCTGGTGAAACTTTACGTAGAAAGAAGTTTGAAATCATAGTAACAATCGCTTTCAAGACATTGGTCTGCGTCCACAATATTTTAGTCTTCATTGTACAGTAGATCAGTAAAAAAAGAAAAATCAAATGGAGGTGAGCCGACTCTACATAGCTGTATTAATTCTGTAGCTGATATCTCAATAGCAAAAATGATCTATCCTAGTACTAAGAATTAACTTGAGGGAACAAATCCAACTCTTCCTTCTCTATCTGCTTAATCATGTGAGGTGAGCTATTCTGTAACCTTCCTAACATTTCTCTCTCCTGCCCTGAATCTGGAAAGAAATCTGACTATTTCAGGTTCATAGACTGTGGGTAACACCAACACTATAGATTTGCCTGTTGAAAATAAATTACTAAAATAAAATACAGCCTCTTACCTAACAAATTGACTACTCAGTGTTAAATATATTCCTGGGGTTTTGCTGATATTATTGGTAAAAATACATTGTTGTAGAAAAATGTACTCGTGTTGGTTTTTCTTTTTTAAAAAACTCTTTTTGTTATATACATCACTTTGGGGGCGGAAATGGACCTTTAATTGACTTCCTCCCCTCAGGACAGCCACGGTGTGGAAAACTCTCTTTCCTTTTTGGGGTGAAGAATATGAAGTCCACTTGTCTCCCAGTTTCCGTTGTGTATCCTTCTATGTGATGGATGAAGATGCATTGAGGTATATTATTGCTCCTTTTAGAGCGATCCCTTCTCCTTGTCCCCTGCCTTTACTGACAATGCCTCACATCATGAAGCAGCAGTGGGACAGCTTCCCTGCTGAGCATATTTGCTGCAGTGTGCATTTTTTAAGAGAGTAAGAAAAGTGTCTTTCACATTGGAACTTGGCCCCTGGTGACTTCATGGAGATATTCGTGTAGTACAAAGTTATTTGAGATCTCTTTCTCTTTCTTCTCCTTCTCCTTTTCCTTCTTCCTCTCCTTCTCCTTCTCCTCCTTCTCCTCCTCCTTCTGCTGTTTTTGTGCAGGTTCCCTTACCCAGGTACTCAAGAGGTTCTGCCCAAATTAGCTTTTCAAGCTATCTGAAGGGAACAGTTGTAGTGTGAGGAACTCCTTTTCAGAATTCTTCGTTCTAAACCTTGCTGGCTTCCTCCCTTTCAGGAGTAGGTATTTTGTGACCAATGATCACTGCCAGTCCTAATCAGGCTTTTAAAGGGTAGGATTCTCCCTTCTTATTTTTTCTAAAGAGGAGAAAACTGCATACAATACAATACCAATCAAAGTCGGTGGATAATTGCATTATACAATGTTTACCCACTAGGTGGAATTAGATCTTGTTGGTTTGGGGATGGGTGATTGGATGGAGAAGAAGTGTTTTATATAGGCTTTTAAAAGAAATATATAGATTCCTCACAGGTGTTTCCTAGCATCTCCAGAGTTTCCAAGCAGGGTTAGGGTTATATGAAAAGAAGAAAGCAAATACATTGGCAGAGGAACGCATGATTAAAATGTGAGAGCAAAAGGAGAGTCAGGTAACATTTTGAAAGAGTTGGTTCTAAACGTCAATAAAGATTATTGTACGGGTCATTGTGACACAAAGAGGCAGTGACCCTGTTGTTCCCACATAAAATATCATATTTTCAGCTCTAGGCTCCCCATCTGTATAATGTTGAAGCGCTGTGGGGTTGCCTCTTTGGTTGGTGATGACGCTCCATTTACCTTGTCTTGCCTTGTTTGTCTTCCTTGTATCAGCCGGGATGATGTCATTGGGAAAGTGTGCATCTCCCAAAGTTTGTTGGCCGAACATCCAAAAGGTGAGATTCGATCTTGGCTGAGAAAGACATCTTTTCATTTGAATGAGTAAGTGGAATGGATGCAGGAATGAATGTGATCATTTCTTCTCGCTTTTGAATCTACAATTAGAATTATTTCCTGTCCAGGTATGCCATTTCTAAAAGTTGAATGATCAATACTTCTGCTTGCAAAGGGGGCACGACAGCTGAGTGTTAAAGATGTTGAGCTTGTCAGCTGGAAAGCTGACAGTCTGGGTTCAAGACCTGAGTGACGCATAATGGGGTGAGCTCCTGTTACTTGCCTCAACTCCTAGCAGTTCAAAAGCATGCAAATGCAAATAAATAAATAGGCACCACTTCGACGGGAAGGTAACAGCGGTCCGTGCCCCTCAGCGTATAGTCATACTGGCCACATGGCCATGGAAGCATCTTCAGATGATGGCTCCTTTGGCTAAGAAATGAAAATGACCAATGCCCCCTAGAGTCGGACACAGCTGGACAGAGGAAACCTTTGTCTTTATCTTTTTGCTTGCAAGCTCCAAATTAATTAATTTGCCTGAATAAAGAGGCAGGCTGAAAAGCTTGGAGACACTCACCTCATCTCACTTCATCCAGGGGTATCATGGTTATAGCTGGCTGGAGAGGCTGTAGCTCAGAAGAGGGGAGGAAAATCATTAAATTTTGACAACAGCCAGATTTATTGGATGAGTTCACAGTAACTTGCTAAATCCAAGTTAATCAGACAAAACGTGGGCATCACAGAACAGCTTGTGCTCCATATTACGTCTTCATTGGATCTTCTGGTTCACCCTTTGTGCTAAGCTAATGATAGGTTCTCACAATGCACTGAATACAAAATCCTATTTTAACTTTGTTGTGTGTGAACCTAGACTTGTGGTGTCCTGTCTTGCTTATTGTTTAGATTTTCCTTATTTTGTCTGGTCTTGCTTCAGCTTGTATTCAAACACATTGCTCAGAATAGGACCCAACATTCCAAGTGCAGTTAAACCAACACAGAATTCAGTGGAATTCTTAATCCCCCTGAGCTGAGTACTGGGGAATGCTGGCTGGGGAATTCTGGGAGTTGAAGTCCACGCAACTTCAAGCTGCCAAGGTTCAGAAACACCATTCTAGAGATCACCCAGTTTCTGTATTCTTGCTGTCTTCACTATGTCAGTGCTGATTTAGATGCTACATAACGTAAACTCCTGTGGCCTCTCTTCTCAGTCAAAGCTGACCAAGAATCTTTAGAGCTGCAAATAGTCTTAATTGCCATAACTTCTTCAGAGCAGGATCTCCTGCTTTTTCTTTTATTTTTCCTCTCAGTTCTTGATGATCTATCATTCTCTGTTTTTCAGCAGCAATCTGGACCACAGCAGAGAAGGGAAGACACTTTTTTTTAGCAGGACTGCCTCTTATTGTGCACAGAATGTTTATTTTATTTTATTTCAGTTCTTTTCTAATTTCCATGCTAGACAGGACCTGAGCTGCTTACTTAAGAATCTGGGACAATCTATTGGAAGCAAACTGACTCATCTTTGAGATGAGGGCAGGGAGAAATTCTCTCTCTGCAGCTAGAAAAGCTGTTGCTGGGGCTGAATTTGAAAGCTCTTTTGAAGGCAAAAAGGGGCATAGAAATTCTCTTCTTAGGATTCCAGTTCAAGTCTCCATTTGAAAATATTACAAAGCAGGTTGGCCAGCTAGGGTTCAACATGTGCCCTAACCATGCACTGGATTTTGTCAGCTCAGATGAATATTTTTAAGTATGTCTTGGAGTCAATATTGAAACTTGGTGACTGCCTAGACGAGTGGTTCTCAACCTGTGGGTCGGGACCCCATTTGGGGTCGAACGACCATTTCACGGGGGCCGTCAAACAACGCAGTCCACCATTTTTTTCCCCTTTTCCTTAGCTGTGCTACTCCCTTTTATTCTATTGGCTTTTGAAAGGCAATAGAATAGACTCTCTTGAATAGAGTCTAATTCTATTGGCTTTCAAAAGCCAATAGGAATTGTCCAGGCTGTCTCTGCCCTGCTGAGTCTGCCAAAAGTCCCATTCTGCAAACAATGCTGCACCAGTTGAGTAGTCCTCGACTTACGACTGGTTGAGTAGTCTTCGACTTACGACCGGTTGGGGGTCGCAGCATTAAAAAGGTTGAGAACTACTGGCCTAGACCTTCCTTGTGTTTTTGCAACATTTTTTTGGGAAGAGGTTTGCTGTTACCTTCTTCCTAGAGCTGAGAGAGAGGAACTGGCCCAAATCACCCTGCTGGCTTCATGCCTAAGATAGGACTAGAAGTCACAGTCTCCTAGTTTTAAGTAGGTTATGTTGCCTGTTTAACCTCCCTTTCCAAGAAAAGAGAATAAGCATTCTTCCTTTTGTAACTCCAACTTCCTTCTAGTTTAGGTGGGATTAGAATGGGGAACAACTGAGGATAAACAGTGGCTGTGTTCAAACAACACCATTAAGTCAGTTAAAAAGGGAGCAGACAGGCTATGCGTGGTTCCTATAAACTTTAGCTAGATACATGTGTGTATGTGTGTGTCCGCGCGTGTGCATGTGTGTCTGTGGTTTAATGTGCTTTGCAAACCCTCCTTGTGTTTTGTTTTTAGTTTATGGTTCACTTTATCATTCAGAAAATGAGTCACTTCAGTAATCAGGCGAAGCACACTGGGAGTCCACAGCTGTTGGTTTTGGGTTTTTCGCTAATAAATGAGCCACAAGGCGAGATACAATACAACGTATTTGGCTGCTGTACAACGTCACTGGCTGCTAACAAAAGGAGGTCCACAGTGCTGAAAAAGATTCAGTTTCATTAAGACTGGATGCAGGTGTTTTAAATAAAGAATCAACCATTTTAGAGCCGAGGTGGCGCAGCAGTTAGAGTGCAGTACTGCAGGCCACTTTAGCTGACTATGTTCAGCAGGTCAGCGGTTCAAATCTCACCGGCTCAAGGTTGACTCAACCTTCCATCCTTCCGGGGTAGGTAAAATGAGGACCCAGATTGTTGGGGGCAATGTAAATATATATATATATATATATATATATATATATATATATATACATTGCTTACTGGTGTACACTGCTTAGAGAGTGCTTGCACTTAAAGCGGTATATAAGTCTCATAAATAAAATAAATAAAATAAATTAATCCCCTAAGCAGATTGGAAAAGGACCTCTAGGAACTCAGAAAACTGCCCAATTGAATCATCTAGGAATTTGTCCCTTTGGCACCATCCTCTCCTTCAACACTGTGCAAAGCTGGCTTGTCATTTCAACTTAATTAAGGGCCATCCACATGTAGCCTGGGGTTCAAAGGCTGCTTCTAACACCCTATTTGTGATCTGCCACACTTCCGGATCATACAGCTGTTATTTAGTGATAAAACAACCAAATTTGGTCAGTGTAAATGCAGGTCATTTGGAAGGTGCAAAGTCTTAGGCTGATGGGGGGAAGGTGAACAGATTGACCTGCTTAGAGATGTCTCAGCATAATAGAACAATTCTAAGCGGCCCTGTGGAAAACACAGAAGGCCCAGTCGCAGCCCCAGACATTTTAAATAGTATTTAACCCTGGTCAGCCCCACTAGATAGAGCAAACCATGAAATCTACTCCATAGGAAAGTGAAAGCTACTTTTATTGTAATGAAATTGGCGAAAATTGCAAAATGCTGCAAGTCTGATTACACTGTGCAGGTAATCCTCGACATACAAGCTCAACTGAGCTCAAAATTTCTGTTGTTAAGCAAGACAGTTGTTAAATGAGCTTTGCTCCATTTTACAACCTTTCATGCCACAGTTTTTAAGTGAATCACTGCAGTTGTTACGAAATGAATCTGGCTTCCCTGTTGACTTTTCTTGTCAGAAGTCACAAAAGGGGATCACATGATCCCAGGATTCTGCAACCGTCAAAAGTACATGCCAGTTGCCAAGCATCCAAATTTTGATCACATGATTGTGGGGATGCTGCGATGGACGTAAGTATGAAAAATGGTCATAAGTCACATTTTTCAGTGCCGTTGTAACTTCGAACGCTCACTAAACGAATGGTTGTAAGCCAAGGACTACCTGCCGCAGTGGATTAGGCTACCATTTTGTGCAAACCTGTGGTGGCTTATTCAGTAACCCAAGATTAATCAATACACGACTTTGTGCAGTGTATGTAAACCAAACGATAAGCAAGAAACTTTCCTGAAGGATCTTTCTATTTCAGCCCATCCTACCTCACAGATTGTAGGGGGATATAACTATGGCAGGGAGCAAATGAATGCTATCTTGAAATGTAGAAGGGAAGACAGCATCAAACTTCAAACAATAGATGATAATCAAGCTATGGGGTGGGAATGAACTGTCAAGAAAGTGTTTGATAATCTTCTTGAATCTCACCTTGCACTATCCCTGCAGGGTAGACTCTGCTGTTGTTTTTATCTTATAAATTTGGTCCCCCCGCACCCTTCTCTTCATGCTCCTGTTCTTAGGCTACAGTGGTTGGTTGAACCTCATGGAAATAGACCCTGATGAGGAAGTGCAAGGAGAAATCCACCTGCAGATGGAGATCATCGGCAGCAGTGCAGCAAAGAAGTTGCGCTGCATTGTGTTTGATGCCAGGTAAGATTAGGGGCCAGGAAAGAGCAGAGGGTCTTGCAAGGAGGCAGCATTGAGAATGTTTAACTCATTGGAGAAAGTAGGGTAAGGAAGAAAGAGAAGATGAGCTTAGAACTCCAAATAACTCTAAATAACTCATGGCCAATTGCTAGTTGAACTGTATGTTTTCCTCCTGTTTTTAAAACCGTTTAAGTCCACATAACAAGCAGTACCTGATTAACTTTGGCTGACCTTAAATACAGTAAGCGAGAGGCGAAGTGGTTAGTAGTTGTATGGAAGACCACCAGAAAATCCTAGAACTGGAGGCCAAAATAGATTTTTAAAAAATTCTGGAAGAAGGCCAAGACAACCCCTACAAAAAGAAAAAGAAGGATAGGAGGTGTCCATGTAAACCAGTGTTTTTTAACCATGGCAATTTTAAACTGAGTGGACTTGCAACTCCCAGAATTCCTCACCCAGCAATACCGATGTGCAGAGTTAGAGTTGAGATCTACTTAAGGAATTCTGTAGCTTCACCCGGTTTTGACTGATCCTGAAACATTCGATAGCTCTATTCCTGTTGATTGAACATCCACAGAAAATCTCAGGATTGAAAAGCTACAATTGTGGGAACAAGATTTCCCAGAGGAAGCCAAGGAAAACCATTTCCATATTTTTGCCCCAAAGACCACATGATCACCAGGAGTGAGGTTCAACTCCATTTCATAGGAGCCTTGAACTATGCCCACTCTAACAGCAGTTTATAACGATCCCAAATTCTACAATTCTCTGTTCCTTTGTTTTGAATTTTTGTTTCCAGTAGGATGGAAACAAATACCAGGAGAAAAACATCAGGCAAATTTTACTCAATTTGGGAAGGTTGTAAAAGAGGATGTTAAAATTTGTTCTTAATGTTATTTTTGTACATTTTAAACATTTTTAGAGTTTTAGAGGAACTCACCAGATTTGTCTTTAGGTGTCATGGTATTTATTCCTTTATATCAGGCAGGTTGCTCCAACCTGGAGGCTCTTAAGACCATGTTAAGTGAGAATTCTGGGAGTTTAATCCATCTTTAGGCCACCACATTGAGACAAGGCTACTGTGAAATATGGGAAGTATCTTAACATACTGCGGTTATCAAATCAGTTCTTAAACTTATTGCCTGTTGATGCATTATGTACCAGATACATTTGATTAGTGTTAATGCATGGCTTAGTATGTTGGGCAAAGTAAGTTTTTTTGGGTTAATTTATAATTTGAGCCTGGGAATAGAATGCATTCTCTCATGAGGTTACATATGCTGTTTAAACCGGGTAAGATTAAAAAGAAAAGGGAAACCCGAAGAGAAATGGGAACATTATCTATCCTAAAAAAAAGTAGTATCCTAAAATAAATTCTAGCATTCTTGAAAATTGCAAAATTAGGGTAAGATTTCAGCTTGATCCTGTTACTGGGGCCTTTGAATGTTCTTTCTTTTAGTTTCCATTTTTTTCTTCCTTCATTGTGGGCGATGTGCAAAATCAAACCTAACCCTGCTTAGCATTAGCAAGATTACCACCTCATTTTCTTTCATGCCACGTCCTGTAATACAAAACAGAGGGTTGTTTACAGCTTCTAATCTAGACTTATTTTACAAGAGCTCTGCTGCCAGAATTTCTTACTCTTAGCTGTGATTTCCACATGTCCTGTTGTTTTCAGGTCTTAAGTTTCCAACTAGCTTTAAACACTCGGCCAAACCTTTCCTGTCTGAGAACATTCTGAGCTGGTATAGCTCTCTTGTTCTATGTGTCCTAACCTCCACAAAAGGAGATTGACAATAAGGAACTGTGCCTAGCAACCTAAAATCAAAGAAATGACCACTAAATCAGCAATTTACAGTATCTGGCTCAGTGTTTCTCAACCTCAGCAACTTGAAGAAGTGTGAATAATCATTCTTGGAATTGAAGTCCACACATCGTAATGTCATTGAAGTTGAGAAACACAAGTCTAGGCCAATCTCTCCCAGTCTGCTGTCTTCTAGCTAAATTGCCTTCCATCTTCACAGGTTTTTAAGAAAAGATTGGACAGCCATTTCTCTGGAATGGTATAGGGCAGGGGTAGGCAACCTTGGCTCTTTTATGACTCATGGACTTCAACTCCCAGAATTCCTGAGTCAGCTGACTCAGGAATTCTGGGAGTTGAAGTCCATGAGTCATAAAAGAGCCAAGGTTGCCTACCCCTGGATAGGGACTCCTGTTTGAGCAGAGGGTTGGACTAGAAGACCTCCAAGGTCCCCTCCAACTCTGTTGTTCTGTTCTGTTCTGTTAAATTCCCAGATGGACATTACTGAGAATTTGGGGAATTTGTCCACATATCTAGAACACATCCTGGGGTTCTGAGTGTTTTGTGGCAGGCTTCTGCCTTAAACCAAAGAAAAATAATTTAAAGACTGGCTACCATAACAAAGCAGACTGTTTTATTAGGGTAAAATTGGAGCAAGGATCGAAAAAGATGAGTTTGACTAGGAAAAAAATGTATAATTTTTTCCCCTTGCTTTCTGCAAGCAAAGGATCTGGCGATACGAATCAGAACTGTGTACTTTTCCATTTCCTTCCTTTTCTTGAGCCTTGGAATCCATCAGGTCACTGCTGGATACAAGCATCCCATATTTTTTCATTAAAATAAAACCCCAGCCTGTAATTGAAGGAAATCACTTTGAAATTACAAGCCGCCTCTGTGAGTAGTGATTTTCTGTTTGGAACGTTACAGAGTATCATCAGGAAGGGGTGAGTGAGAAAAAAGAAAGCGAGGGAGGGCAGTCTCCTTACAGGATGCATGTTATTATTTTCAAAGGCCTTTTGATGGAAATGGCCAAAGAGGTTCTGGAGGAACCACACTGGAGCAGAAAGTTTTGTGCCTTTATTGAAAATTTTACCATTGTTCATTCGTGTTCCATTCTTCTGAACCACACGACTCTCAAAATTCCTCTTTGTTTATTGTCCAAGTAATACAGCTCTCCAGGGCTCCCAGGCAATCTTCCTGTTTTATAGACCTGTGTAATTAGAGTCAGAAAAAAACCTCTTGCAATTAAAAGACCCAGGGGCAATTGGATGGGGTGGGCAAGATAAAACCAAACAGAGTGTGTCTGAACAGTTGCAATCTTTCAAGGGTTCAGAGCTAGAGGGACCTACTGGAAATCACAAGGAAGTCAGGACAATGCTATTTTGTACAGTTACCAAAACAAAACAAAATAAATAATGCTTGCAAGACTAGCAGATTGTTATTTATCTTCATGGAGTTATTGGTATAAGAATTCTCTAGAATGGGGGTCCTCAAACCCTGGGCCACAGTCTACTACTGGGCCATGACCTATTTGCAACCAGGCTGTGTGAACGGTGGGGTGGCGCACATGTGCATGCACAGCTCAACTCGTGCAAGTGGCAGGCTGGTGCGCATGTGTGTGCTCGCAGCTCACACAGCTTGGGGAGAGAGAGGAACCGGGCAACGTGAGTGGCGGGCCGGCACGCATGCAGCTCAACTAGTTGAGCTATGTGTGCATGCGTGTGGATGCTGGCCTGCCGCTTGCATGAGCTAAGTTGCATGTACGGACAGGCCCACCATTCAAGCGGCCCGGTTCCCTTCTCCCCCCCCCCAGCCAGGGTGCCAAGCCACAAAGGTTGGGGACCACTGCTCTAGAAGACTGACTTGCCCTTAGATTTCCTGTATTCTTCAAGAGTGGATATGTCTTCTTGACAGTGTACAAGAATCTGCAGGTGGAAATGTACCAATTTGATTGTGGGTACTGCAAGGTTAAGAGAGCTAGTTTGGTGTAGTGCTTAAGACATCAGATTAGAAACCAGGAGACTGGGAGTTCTAGTCCTGCCTTAGGCACAAAGCCAGCTTTCTCTCAGCCTTAGAAATGAGGCCCTAGCAAACCACTTCTGAAAAACCTTGCCATGGAAACTGCAGGGCCTTGTCCGGGCAGTGTCCCATAATTGGACACAATTTCCAGGTCATATTCAAGGGTTTGCCAGAAGTATATGGCAGACTTTAGTTTTTCAGGACTTGAACATGTCTTAATTTTTTTCATATATTCATGCAAATGGCACCTTCAGCATCTGTAACCTTCCTTCTTCTCTATCCCTTTCCTTCAAGGGATTTAGCTCGGAAAGATCGGAATGGCGCTTCTGATCCTTTTGTCAGAGTCCGCTATAACAGCAAAATTCAGGAGACTTCGGTGAGTTGAGATTGTGGTAAGAAGAAGAAGATGAATCTGAAGTTGATTCTATCCAACTTTGGCTTACAATTTATTAAGGCCCAACATACTACAGGCAGTCTTTGACTTACAGCCACAATTGGGAGCAGAATTTCTATTGGTCAGTTGTTAAGTGAGTCGCACCCAATTTTATGATCATTTTTTCCATAGATTTATTTTATTAGATCTATAAAACTGACTGTTGGAAAGACCTAAGGCAGCTTAAATTAAAAATTCAACAAAAACAAAGTGCAAAAGGTTTTTTAAAACTCAAAACTGTGATGAAAAACATAAAGTTTCAAATCTCATAATTCCCAGTCTGGAGAGATTTGGCTTGCTGGACTAGAAAAAGCATATATAATATACAGAACTCTTGGCAAGCCACACATACTAGATAGATAGATAGATAGATAGATAGATAGATAGATAGATAGATAGATAGATAGATAGATAGATAGATAGATAGATAGATAGATAGATAGATAGATAGATAGATGATCAATGATAGATAGATAGATAGATAGATAGATAGATAGATAGATAGATAGATAGATAATGAGAGAGATATTGTAGATAGACGATAGAGGTAGATGAATGATAGAGATAGATAGATAGATAAATAGATAGATAGACAGATAGATAGAACGCAGACAGAAAGAGAGACACAGAGACAGACAGATAGAGACAGAGAGACAGAGACACAAAAGTATGCCTGTGTGTGTGTGACTGGCCAAAGGTTCTGTTTGCCTACCTAACGGGATCATTAAAAAAGAAAGTTTCTGCTACAACTTCCATTACTATAAGTAGTCCTCGACTTACAATCACAAATGGGACTAAAATGTCCATTGTACGTAAGTTGTTGTGGTCACAAATTGAGTTGGACTGAATTTCACAACATGTTTACAGTGATTGTTAAGCCAATCCAACTTTTCTAACGGGCAGGTTTTGCCAAAAAACTGCAAAAGAAATTTGCATAATCATGTTACCACAGGATGTTGCAACCTGTTGTGAATACAAGGCAGCTGCCAAACAATCGAATTGCAATCATGTGACTGGTGGTCATAAGTAAAGACCATAGTTACTTGTTCCAAGGGTCATCATAACTTTGAAACCCCATGAAACCAATGGTCATATGTTAAGGAGTACTTGTAGGTGCTAATGTTGAGTGGACTGAAATAGGGAAAGGTGTTGCATGCGTCAGGGCTGTGATCTTCCGTAGTGGTTAGCCTCCAAAGATTCATTTAACCAGAACCCCCCATCCATCTTCCCCAGCCAGTGCAATTCTTTATTATGTTAGTGGGGTATATAGAAGTTATAATCTGGCATCATTGGAACATCTCCCATCTTAAGCAGGCTGCCATATCGCTTTTAGGATTTCCCTGATACAGTTAGTCCTTCACTTGCAACCTTCCATTTACTGACTATTCAATGTTACAACAACATGACAAAGGTGATGTGCTATGCTCTGATCATTTTTCACACTTACGACTTTTGCAGCATCCCCATGGCAACTGACTCATAGTTATGATGGTTGCAGTGTCCTGGGGTCATGTGATCACCTTTTGCGGCCTTCCGGCAAGCAAAGTCAATGAGAAAGCCTGAATCACTTAACAGCTGTGTTACTATCTTAACAACTGCAGTGATTCATTTAATAACTGGGGCAAGAAAGGTCATAAAATGGGACAAAACCCACTAAACAACTGCCTTGCTTAGCCACAGAAATGTCGGCCTCAACTGTGTCTGTATGTTGAGGACTACCTGTACAATGGAACTTGCTTCCCCTTTCTTTAGACTCTGCTCTTTCTTCTCTAGGTGATCAAAAAGTCCTGCTACCCCAGATGGAATGAGACCTTTGAGTTTGACCTTGATGAGTCAGCCACAGAAAAGCTCTGTACGGTTGAAGTCTGGGATTGGGATCTTGTCAGCAGGAATGATTTTTTGGGGAAGGTGAGTTGAAAAACAAAAAGGACACACTGAAGGTAGGTTAGCACATCTGAGGAGCAAGGAGGCTGCTCTGTTGAAAGGCTGTCTTGTTTTTACTATATTTAGAAACTCTAACTAGAGATCCGGGAGGAGAGCAATAACCTGAAGTAGCTGCTTGCAAATTCTTGTGACTAATGCAGGGATAGGTTGCCTACCCCTGCACTAAGATATGGGATATAAAGGTCTAAAAATTAAACATGACGGCAGTTGAAATCATCTTGGGTGCTTGTACTGCCTCAAACATAGTGGGCTTCTAGATGATGCTGATGTTTTGTTTCTTTGTTTTTTCACTGTTTCTTCCTTCTTTTTTTCTTAGTACACACCTAAAAGAAAGGATTTTTGATAATAACACTGGGACCTATCTATCAAAAAGCATTAGTAGAGACCCATTGTATAAAGCCATGACTTGCTTTAGCCTGAGTTATTTATTATGTTCCCAAGACCAAACCAGTAAGCTACATAGTGTAATGTGTGAATGGATTCTTATCTTTTAACATTTTGGCAATGCCTGGAAAAATGTCGCTGCGTAATTCATGATGAGTCACAGCACCACAAAGCAGACTGTCTTCCTTTGTTACTAGATCACTGCAGAGTCATCTTTACCGTTTATTTATTAGATTTATTTGCTACCCATCTTGGCTCCAATCAACTCTTATTGTTAAGCATGGTAGGGAGTGAACTGGGGCCAGACCCCCTTCCCTGCCCTCCCCACATGCTCTTAAGAGGCTCCCTGGCCATTTGACTCATTAAGAGGATCCTCAGGATGAGACACTGTGAGTTGGCTGGGCCACCTGCCTGCACCTTTTATGAAGGCACCTTGTAAAATTGTAAAATGAGGGGGTCTGCCAGGAAAGGGGGTTTGTGTGAGAGAGATGGGTGTTTCAGTTTTGGGCAATGGATCCTCTTGACCACACTAGGCACTGGATGCAAATCAGTGACAAAACAGATGTACTTATTTCTTGATTTATGCAGCCACCCATCTCACATACATAATTTTGGGCTGCTTTTGAGGATAAAACACAAGCAATAAATACAAACAATAAACATAAATAATAAACTCAAACAACCGTTGCTTGCGTGGACACAAGCACGCACTTTGTATCGGGTCAAGATGGTGATGATGTTGATGACAACGATGATGACTTTTTTAAAAAAGAAAAAAAAACTTCCAACGAAATCAATTTGGCTTCACAGGTTCACATTTTTTTCTTGCAAAGTTAAAGAAGTGGTTTGATATTCAGTCTCCCTGGATGGTTTTTCAGACATCCTACAACAGGGGTCCCCGTGGACTGGTACCGAGCCATGGCATGCCAGCAACTGGTCCGCACAAACAAGCAAAGCCCCATCTGTGGGATGCAGGCAGCACACTAAACCATACACTCTCCGATCCATGGAAAAACTGTTCTCCACAGAACCGGTCCCTGGTGTCCAAAAGGTTGGGGACCTCTGTCCTACAACATCCCCCTGAATACTAACCAGGCCTGACTTTTGCTGAAGTTCTTAGCCCAAATAAGGTTGACCATGTGCTACCATCTACTGGGTTATTGTTATTACTGCAAATATACCCTCCCAATCCTCCTAAAGCAAATGATTTTTCAAACTTTGCAACTTTATTGTGGACTTCAAGTCCCAGAATTCTCCAGCCAGCTGGATGCTGGAGGAATTCTGGGAATTGAAGTCCACACATCTTAAAGGTGTCAAGTTTGAAAAACATTATCTCAAAACATTCAAGCCATATGAATAGAAAAACAGTGAATATTATTTTGAAAGAAACCAAAATCACACTTTACAGAGGCTCTTAAAGGGTACTTGATGGCGGTGACTTGGAACGGGGAAAATCTTTCATAGAGGCTGATTCCTGCCTTTTCCCCTGTCCGTTCAGGGAATCTTGTGAATGGGACAATTGATAATAGTTAATTTGCTAGGACTCTATACTAGCCCTGCCTTGAAAAGTAGGATGCACCTTTTTGCCTCCATGGCATGTCCTCTACTACTCAACTTCCTCCCATCCCAAGAATTAACATGGAAGAAACAATTGGGATATGGCTTATCCCATCACCTACTTGCTACTTGATCACTGGATCTTGGATGGTTAACATCTTTGAAGGCCCACCAACTCCTCTGGACATTTCTTTCTGATCTGCAGGTGGTATTCAATGTCCAAAGGCTGAAGGCCGTCCAGCGAGAAGAAGGATGGTTTTTGCTCCGCCCAGACAAATCCAAGGCAAGATTGGATGAGTAAGTCTTAATTCTCAGTGCTCACCAGGCTATCAATGGAGAAATGAAAATTAGGAGCATCTTGGAAGTTTAGGGGGATTTCCTCAAAAATGTTGGAAGTTGCCTTACAGTGTCTTGAGCTGATTCATCTTGTCTACTTTTATTTAGAGTTATTTTTTTTTTGTCTGGTTAGTTAATTTTGCCCTAATAGAAGTGCCTGAGATCAACTTTGCTCCTTTTGAGAATAATTGTGGAGATGCTTATGAGAAATATTCCATGAGATCATCCACAATAGATCCTTAAAAACTGAAATATGTCTACCATCCCCAAATCCCCTAGGTAGTAACCAACGTATAAGGTATATCTAATATCCTTATTTTTTCCCTGTATTTCAGAGGGAATCTAGGTTCCTTACACCTCCAGGTACAGCTTCGGGATGAAATGGTTCTGCCATCCATCTACTACCAGCCTCTTGTGGAGCTGCTGTGCCAGGAAGTTAAAGCAGGGATAAAGGTGAGACAGAAAAACAGAATAGCAGAGTTGGAAGGGACCTTAGAGGTCTCCTAGTCCAACCCTCTGCTCAGGCAGGAGACCCTGTACCATTTCAGACAAATACTTGTTCAATTTTTTCTTAAAAACTTCCAGTGTTGGAGCACCCACAACTTCTGGAGGCAAGTCCTTCCACTGATTAAGATCCTTGTATCATTCTTGTCCCTGGAGAAGGAGTGGTTGGGAGTCCCCAGTTCTTATTCCAAAGATTTCTTATGATCCTCGGGTGATCATAGACCAGGTAGCTCTCTCATGCTAACCTAGTTCACAACAGAACCCCACCATTAGGCAGAGTGAAGTGCTGGCGTTGTGATTCTGGGGAAAGAGGCAACAAGCACAGTTCTGTAGCTGTTCCATCTGAACCTCCCAGTCACTCTCTTGAAGAATATAGTTCTTCAGGCCACACAGTCTTTTCTGAACCTCCTAAGCTGGCTGGCTCACTGCACTCAGGAGTGGTGGTGGATCCTCTCTTATTGCTAATACTGTATTAAAACAAAATTGAGCTGTGGAACAAAGGGCCATGTTTGAATCATGGCAACTGGAGTACTTTTCTTTTGTTTGAAACATTTTGCTGCTTATCAGGCTTCTTTGTTGATAAAGATTCTCAGACTAAAGAAGCTGCTTTGATAAGCTGCAAAACGTTTCAAACCAAAAAAGAAAAGAAGTCCAGTTGCCACGATTCAACTTCTGGATAACTCTGTGTGGATGACTGAGACTCTTCATCAATGTTTCATCTTTTGCCTTAAGCAGGAAAATATCTTTGGCTCCTATTTATGACTCTTGTGTGGCTTGGAATGGAAGGCAGCTGAACAAAGACTGTGTATGTAATATAATGTGCTCAATAAAACAGACAATGCAGAAGATTATGTTCAAAGGGACACATCAAGTTTTTATGAAAAATACTCCCTCCCCTTCTGAAACAATGCGCATTAACTTCTCCATGAAATGTATTTCCTCTGCCCACACTCTTCTCCTTACAGAACCAGAAAGGGCACTTAATAACCCTGATTGATGAGACCACAACAGCTGAATGTAGACAGGAACTTGCCGTCAACCTGGTCAAGCTCTTCCTGGGCCAAGGCTTGATTAAAGAGTTCTTGGACCTCCTGGTCAAACTGGAGCTGGACAGAACCTGTAAGGACCAGGGCAGGAGGGAAGGGGTTTATACTTTGATTTTGTGCATGGGTGGGAGGGAGGGAGGGGAGGGTCCCTTTGAGTCAGTGTTAACTCCTGGTGACTGCTTGGATAAGTTCCTGCCATTTGGTTGGTGTGTGTGTCTGTGTGATTGGGGATGTTGATTTTGTTTTGATTGTTCTTCTTGTTAATGAAACCATGGATATCTTAATACTGCTTTTGTCACATAAATTGCCAAGAGTTCATTCTGATTTTCATGGGCTATATATGTAATAAATTAAATACCATGAATGGTGAGATGTAGGTTCAAAGAGGCTAGCCCAGGGGTAGGCAACCTTGGCTCTTTTATGACTCGTGGACTTCAACTCCCAGAATTCTTGAGCCAGGCATGCTGAGGGGAAAAGGAAAGGTTTCCAAGCTGAGCTATGCTGGCTCAGGAATTCTGGGAATTGAAGTCCATGAGTCATTAAAGAGCCAAGGTTGCCTACCCCTGGGCTAGACCAATAGCTAAACTAGTAGCATTAAGTAGTTTGTGATTCAGTGTGATATTTTAATGTGTAGCATGTAAACCAGGACACTATGTTAAACCTTTTTTTCCCCATTTTGGTACGTCATATTATATGAGCTATATAACACATTTTCTCAACCTGGGTGTAAAGCATTTTGTGTAAATACAGCCAATGGACATGCTAACCCTGTCCAACTATTAATTGTCTGTCCTATCTTGTCTTTTAATTCCAACACGTATTGTGATCGTTTTAGTTGTGGTCAAACTCCTTTGCATTCAATTTGGAATTGTCAAGGTATTTAGAAGCTTTCTGGGTGGGCAGGATGGGTAGCAAAAGCTAAGGAAAAGAATGCAAAGAGGAGAGAATATCTGAAATAAGATATAAAGGGAAGAGAGCGATCAATATGAAAAAGAGGGAAGTCTTCCGAATTGGCAAAAAAGTCTTTGAAAGCCAGTGATGGCAAAGATAAATATCATATTCATTTCAGACAATCATTTTTGCTATTCTATTATCTAAGCCAGGGGTAGGCAACCTGGGCTCTTTTATGACTCGTGGACTTCAACTCCCAGAATTCCTGAGCCAGCACGGCTCAGCTTGGGAACCTCTCCCTTTCCCCTCAGCATGGCTGGCTCAGGAATTCTGGGAGTTGAAGTCCACGAGTCATAAAAGAGCCAAGGTTGCCTACCCCTGATCTAAGAGAAAGATATAGCCGAATCAAAGAAGACAGCCAATGAAAGAGGCCTTGACTCTTTCAAGGGTTAAAATGTAATAGCAAGTCATCCTGTTTTTTTCATAAGACAAGATGAAAGGGTATATAGTTCAGTGACCAATCATAAACCACTATCTGTGTTTCAGTTGAACCCAACACGTTGTTTCGGAGCAACTCTCTAGCTTCTAAGTCTATGGAGTCATTTCTGAAGGTACTTTTGGGGGGTTCTGTCTTCCTTCTATGACGGGTGGTGGGAGGCTCTTTCTGCCAGTTCCTGATTATGAAGCTAATCTAATCTCTCCCTAATCTCTGACTTTGTAGGTGGCAGGTATGCAATACCTCCATCGAATCCTTAGGCCATCAATTAACCGAGTGTTTGAAGAGAAGAGATACATCGAACTAGATCCCAACAAAGTGGAAAGCAAAGAGATCGGGTAGGAAGAAGGAAGGAGCTAGAGTGGGGAGGCCTCTCTGTGAAGGAGAGACTTATAGTGAAAGGGTTTTTGAGCCAGTGGACACAAAACCCTGAGAAGGGGTTGTGGATGCTTTCACAAAATGGCAGCACTTATGAGCATTATCAGTCACAATCCTCCCATTTACCAGAATGCAAACTGGGGTGGGGGTTGGGGCCTCTTGTTCTCCAAGATTGCTATTTTCCATCCCAGGTTCTTCAAAAATGGCTGATTTGATTCGCATTCTGGGAAATAAAGTTGGTGTGTTTCTTTGAAATACTGTAAGCCAGTTTCAATTTTAAATATATTTTAAATTAGAATAATAGTTTTGTTTTTTGTTTTTTTAGAAAAAATCAAGTACGGCAAGAAATCTTGATTTACCAGCATGTTAGTGCCTAAGACAGAAAGAAAGTTCTATCAGTGTCAGACATTGAAATTCTTTACCTGGATGCTGTTCAGGCATAAAAAATGCAAAGTACGGAGGATTTATATAATTATGCATAATAAAAACCAGACCTGCTTATCAAGGAAATAAAGTAGATCTCGAATCCTAGTGGTTGCTAGAGGTGATTCTCATTGTCTTATTGCTTGAGGTGTTGTGATTAAAACATATATCGGGTAACATAATTTTAGAACATTTGAATTTTCTGGCTAGTAGACAAGTTACATTGAGTATTCCACTGACACTTTGAATATGGAATGGCCTTGCTTCCTTCACAATATTTATAGTGACTCTATAGAATGAATGAATGAATGAATGAATGAATGAATGAATGAATGAATGAGAAAGATTCAATAGATAGATAGATAGATAGATAGATAGATAGATAGATAGATAGATATGGATGGATGGATGGATGAATGGATGAATGGATAGATGAGAGAGAGATATTGTAGATAGATGATAGAGGTAGATAAATGATAGAGATAGATAGATAGATAGATAGATAGATAGATAGATAGATAGATAGATAGATACTATAGATAGATAGATGAGAGAGGTAGATGAGAGAGAGAGAGACTGTAGATAGATGATAGAGGTAGATAAATGATAGATAGATAGATAGATAGATAGATAGATAGATAGATAGATAGATAGATAGATAGATAGATGAGAGGGGTAGATAGATGAGCGAGAGAGACAGATACTGTAGATAGATGATAGAGGTAGAGAGACAGATAGATAGATAGATAGATAGATAGATAGATAGATAGATAGATAGATAGATAGATAGATAGATAGATGAGAGAGAGAGAGAGAGAGAGAGAGAGAGACAGACAGATGCTGTAGATAGATGATAGAGGTAGATAAATGATAGAATAGATAGATAGATAGATAGATAGATAGATAGATAGATAGATAGATAGATAGATAGATAGATAGATAGATAGATAGATGCGCATTTTTAGAGCATCCAGAGAGGAAGTAAGACAATACCAATCTATCTAGGATGAACCAGCAAAGACTTTTTCCCACATTTAATTAGTATGTTTACTTTTCTGAAAAATATGGTGAATTGTGTCATTGTTTCTTAAGTAGTCATTTCCTATTCTTCCAATAAGTCAGTATTAATTAGCAATTTCTCTGCATTGTTTTTCTCCTTAAATATATGTAGCTACAGGAGGAAAATATTTGGAAATAAAGCCTGGCTACCTGGTTGAAGAACCAGCACCAGTTCTACTAGAGCTGCAGCTAAGGCAGTGTTTCTCAACTTTAGCAACTTTAAAAGGTCTGGGTTTCAACTCCCAGATTTCCAGATGGCCTGCTAGCTGGGGAATTATGGGAGTTGAAGTCCATTCAAATTAAAATTGCTAAGGTTAAGAAAAACTGATAAAGAGCCTCCTCCGATTCTAATGATAGCAATAGCACTTAGACTTATATACCGCTTCACAGTGCTTTAGAGCCCTCTCTAAGCGGTTTACAGAGTCAGCATATTGCCCCCAACAATCTGGGTCCTCATTTTACTGACCTGGGAAGGATGGAAGGCTGAGTCAACCTTGAGCCGGTGAGAATCGAACTGCCGAACTGCTGGCAGTCGTCAGTCAGCAAAATTAGCCTGCAGCAAAATTCTAGCCACTGCGCCATTGAAGATGTAATCAATCATTCACCAGCTACTCGCCATCAAACTGATGGGCTATTTGTGCTTTCAGAGCATGAAGCAGCCATTTTGAATGTGACATCAATCTGATTGGATACTGCATTTTGAGTAATCCAACATGGCTCTGAATGGCACGCAGGGAGTTCTGAGTTATTTCATTATTTTTGTTTCTTGCTCCAGATGCTCTAGCCTTCACCGGATCCACAGTGAAAGTGAGGTGATCCAGCAGAGCGGCCAGCTCCTTCAGTCCTATCTGACTGACCTACTGAACACCATCACCAGGTCTGCCAAGATGTGTCCTCCTGTCATCCGTGCCACTTTTCAGCTACTTTTCAAAAGAGTTGGAGAACGGTTCCCCGAGGAGAAAAATCAGGTCAGTTGGGCAGCATTCTTCTAACTCAACCTCGGTCCCCTCCCAGGAATGTGGGATTATAATTTTGTAAATTCTTTGCAATTAAAATTCTTTTGTAACTCTTCTGCTTCTTTGTCAGGTAAGGCAACTTGTTAGATCTTGTGGGAAGAAAAGCCGCGGGATCTTACAGTCCCATCCAGCAGGGATTTGAATGCTAAGGAAGGGCTAGTTTCATTTTTAGTTTTGTTATCTTATTCCTACCACTCTCCTTTTCTCCAAGATGATAAACTGAGAGATTTGGTATTGCCTGTCAGATTGTTTTTGTCCTTGGTCTGTTCCCATCCCTTTTCAAAAACTGTATCCTTCTGCACCTGCAGAATGTGAAGTTCATTGCCATCACCAGCTTCCTCTGCCTACGATTCTTCTCTCCAGCCATCATGTCCCCCAAACTCTTCCACTTACGGGAGAAGCACGCCGATGCTCACACCAGCCGGGCTCTGCTTCTGCTGGCCAAGGTAAGACCTGGTCCCAGAAGAAATGCTCTTAATGGCCCAATGATGTCCAAAAGGGGTCCTTTTCTGACTCTTGTCAAGTGTCCCTGCTCTCTTTTCTAATGTCTTATTTCATCTCAACTTGCTTGCCTTCTCCTTCCCTTCCCTTCCCCTTCCCCCTCCCCTCCTCTGCCCTGTCCTGCCCTGCCCTCCCCTCCCCTTCCTCCAAGCATGACTCCTGATTGGATAGTGCAGAGTGGCTTTTTAAATCTCAATCCCCTTAATCCCAACATTCTCTTCGCTGCAAACCATGCTGGTTTTCTCTCAATCTGGGTGAAGTTTGTTCTTGAGTTGTGGTGACTTGTTCCGATTTTCTGCTGGGCCAGGCTGTCCAAAACGTGGGGAACATGGACACAAGCATCAGCCGCACCAAGGAAGCATGGATGGCCCCTCTGCAAGCCACCATTCAACGTGGTGTTGCCCAGATGAAGCTGTTCATCCTGCAGTTAATTGACATTGAGGAGAAAGAGGGTAAATGCTTGATAAAGTCAAACAAATTAAGAAATGTTCTGGTTACTACAAGCGGCAGAGTGCTTTCTCTGATCCACCAGCCGGATGGTGGTTTACTGGTATCTGAAATTTAGTGCCTTATCCCATTTCTTTCTTAGCATGGCAGCCCTCAACTTTTGACCATTTGCTTAACAACAGTTCAAAGTTATGACAGTCTCAGAAAAAAAGTGATCTACAGTCCTTTTGTATGTATGTTGTGATACCACATGCATATACAAAGGGTGCAGGGCTTGTCTCCCAAGGACAAAGGCAAAGCTGATGACCAAAATAGCAAACTCTTGTGGATGACCCTGGTTTCCCACCCTTGGTGTCATCCAAAGAGGGAAGGGCAGCAAAGCTGGATGACTTCACTAATGGCTTTGAGTAAGACACTTTGCAGGGACTTCCCTAGTTTATAAGTAGGACTGGGGTTAGCAATGAGGGCAGCAGATTATATCTCATGATTTTCTGGCAACTTGTATTATTACTATTGTTGTTGTTGTTATTTCACGCTCATTCAAAACACATGCACATATTTTGTGTTGACTGCTGTGAATGTTGAATTACAGAATTAGACCTGCAGAAGCCCATTTCCCTGCAACCTCAGGTTGTAAAAGAGGGGTACCTCTTCATCCACAAGGCAAGAAGCAAGGGGCCTCTCCTCTCGTTCTCCTTCAAGAAGTTCCATTTCTCATTAACGCATGAGGCTCTCACCTGCGCCAAGACACCCAACTCCAAGGTAGGTAAAGGACAGAGACTGGCCACCACCTGAGGCTCTGGCCATGTTCCTTGTTGAAATCACTTCTCTTGAAACCCTCTATAAGTTGGGGAGTCCAAGGAAGGAGTGCCCATGAAGGCTAGCCAGTCATCACAGAAGCTAGGTCTCTCCCCTGAAGCAGCAACCAAATGGCCAGGCTCAAATTAATAATAATAATAATAATAATAATAATAATAATAATAATAATAATAATAACAAACAAACAAGAAAAACAAACAAACAGTGCACCAGAAAAATGGAAGGTTAGACTAGAAAATAAGATCAGCAAGTTAAGATCACATGCAAGCAAGCTAGAACAGATGAAAGAAAAGAAGCTGAAGAACAAGAAGACCAAAGAATACCTAATCAAGAAATACCACTTAGAAACAAGGAAGATCAAGGAAGCACTGGAAATAATAAAGCAACAAATAACAGCTATAGCCAGGAAAATCAGTAGATATGAAGCTCGAATTGCAAACTATAGGCAGAACCTCCAATTTCAATCCAATCAGAAACGTTTCTACCAATCCATCAATGGAGAAACTGCAAGGAATCAGTCAGTACCTGACAAGGAAGAAACAGTGCAATTCTGGAAGCAGGTATGGGATAACCCAAAGAAATACAACAAGGATGCAGCTTGGTTAAAAGAAGTGGATGCAAATAAAACAGAAGTTGAAATGAAAGAACTAGTAATAACAACAAAAATGGTAGAAAAAAGAGCAAAGAAAATCAAAAATTGGTCAGCACCAGGTGAAGATGAACTGCATGGGTTTTGGTTGAAACATCTAACTGTTATACACCCACTCATTGCCAAGCAATTCAACAATATACTACAAGGAGGAGAAATTGAAAAGTGGCTAACAACTGGGAAAACCTACCTAATAATGAAAAATCCAGCAAAAGGGGCAACACCAGGTAACTACAGGCCAATTACCTGCTTACCAACAACTTTCAAATTACTAACTGGTGTGGTAGCTGATGCAGTACAACAGCATCTAGTTGAAAACAATCTCTTTCCACCTGAGCAGAAAGGAAACCGCCCCAATAGCAGAGGAACAAAAGATCAACTCCTAATAGACAAAATGATCTTGGAAAACTGCAAGAGAAGGAAGACCAACCTGAATGTGGCATGGATTGACTACAAAAAGGCATTTGACTCTCTGCCACATGATGGATAATCAAGTGCCTAGAAATAACAGGAGTCAGTAGAAACATCAGAAAATTTGTGCAAAGATCGATGGCACAATGGAAGACACAGTTGCAGATCAATGGTGAGAGGCTGGGAGAGGTTAATATCAAGAGAGGAATATTTCAAGGAGATTCATTATCACCATTACTATTTGTTATTGCACTGTTTCCTCTGTCAACAATACTGAATAACTCAGGACATGGCTATCAAACATCAAAAACATCTGCCAGACTATCCCACCTCCTTTATATGGATGATCTGAAGCTGTATGGAAAAACATCATCTGAAATAGAATCGCTGCTCAACACTGTCCGTATATATAGCCAAGATATTGTAATGGAGTTTGGCTTGGACAAATGTGCCACACTTACTATCAAACAAGGAAAAATAGTGAAAACTGAAGGAATCAAGATGCCCCACGAAAATAACATTAAGAGTCTGGATGAGGAAGAGTACTACAAATACTTGGGTATCCTTCAAGCTGACAACATCAAGCACACTGAAGTCAAGAAAAAGATTAGAGGTGAATACATCAAGAGAGTGAAGAAGATCTTAAAGTCCAAACTCAATGGAGGAAATACCATAAAGGCAATCAACACCTGGGCAATCCCAGTCATTAGGTACACAGCTGGAATAGTGGACTGGACTCAAGCAGAACTAAAAGCAATGGATAGGCAGACCAGAAAAATAATGACAATGAATCATGCCCTTCATCCACGCAGTGACATTGATAGACTTTATCTACCAAGGCAAATAGGTGGGCGTGGAATGCTACAAGTACATCAGATGGTTGAAGAAGAAAAAATGGCTTTGGAAGAATATCTGAAGAACAATGATGAAGATGCACTGAAATTAGTATATCAGGAAGGCTTACTAACTACTGGAGAGACCAAACTGGCCTACAAGAAAGACCAAATGAAGAACAGAATAGAGGCATGGGAAGACAAAGCACTACATGGCCAATACATTAAAAAAATAGCTGGGAAAGCAGATAATAACAAGACCTGGCAATGGCTAAGAGCAGGAAAATTGAAGAAAGAGACCGAGGGACTAATTCTGGCTGCACAAGACCAAGCCTTAAGGACAAATGCATACAAAGTCAAAATTGAGAAGACAGCAACAGACAGTAAGTGCCGCCTATGCAAAGAAGCTGAAGAAACAGTGGACCACTTGGTAAGCTGTTGCAAGAAGATTGCACAGACTGATTACAAGCAGCGGCATGACAAAGTAGCAACAATGGTGCATTGGAAGATCTGCAAAAAATATCATTTGCCTGTAAGCAAAAACTGGTGGGATCATAAAATAGAGAAAGTCATAGAAAATGATAAAATTAAACTGCTCTGGGACTTCAGAATTCAAACAGACAAGCACCTGCAACATAACACCCCAGACTTAACAATTGTCGATAAGAAAGACAAAAAAGTCTGGATAGTGGACGTGGCAGTGCCTGGAGACAGCAGAATAGACGAGAAAGAACTGGAGAAGATAACAAAATACAAAGACCTACAAATAGAAATAGAAAGACTGTGGCAAAAGCAAGCAAGGGTAGTACCAATAGTAATAGGCTCCTTGGGTGCAATCCCAAAACAACTGGAGCACCACTTGAACACCATTGGCATTGACAAATTCGCTATTAGTCAATTGCAAAAGGCGGCCTTATTAGGAACTGCTTCCATCCTGCGACGATACCTGTAATACCATCAAACATCCACATCTGCCTATCCCAGGTCCTGGGTAAGGACTCGATAGGTAGACAAAATGCCAAATCCAGTCTGAACATCTGGCTGACTGTGCGATGATCGATAATAATAATAATAATAATAATGGATCATCGCACAGTCAGCCAGATGTTCAGACTGGATTTGGCATTTTGTCTACCTATCGAGTCCTTACCCAGGACCTGGGATAGGCAGATGTGGATGTTTGATGGTATTACAGGTATCGTCGCAGGATGGAAGCAGCTCCTAGTAAGGCCGCCTTTTGCAATTGACCAATAGCGAATTTGTCAATGCCAATGGTGTTCAAGTGGTGCGCCAGTTGTTTTGGGATTGCACCCAAGGAGCCTATTACTATTGGTACTACCCTTGCTTGCTTTTGCCACAGTCTTTCTATTTCTATTTGTAGGTCTTTGTATTTTGTTATCTTCTCCAGTTCTTTCTCGTCTATTCTGCTGTCTCCAGGCACTGCCACGTCCACTATCCAGACTTTTTTGTCTTTCTTATCGACAAGTGTTAAGTCTGGGGTGTTATGTTTCAGGTGCTTGTCTGTTTGAATTCTGAAGTCCCAGAGCAGTTTAATTTTATCATTTTCTATGACTTTCTCTATTTTATGATCCCATCAGTTTTTGCTTATAGGCAAATGATATTTTTTGCAGATCTTCCATTGTTGCTACTTTGTCATGCTGCTGCTTGTAGTCAGTCTGTGCAATCTTCTTGCAACAGTTTACCAGGTGGTCCACTGTTTCTTCAGCTTCTTTGCATAGGCGGCACTTACTGTCTGTTGCGGTCTTCTCACTTTTGACTTTATATGCATTTGTCCTTAAGGCTTGATCTTGTGCAGCCAGAATTAGTCCCTCGGTCTCTTTCTTCAATTTTCCTGCTCTTAGCCATTGCCAGATCTTGTTGTTGTTATTATTATTATTATTATTATTATTATTATTATTATTATTATTAAGTTGAAAGGGACCTTGGGGGTCATCGAGTCCAACCCTCTGCTCAGGCAGGAAACCCTATACCATTTCGGACAAATGGCTGTCCAATCTCTTCTTAAAAACTTCCAATCCTACTTTGGACACGTTAGAGCTGTGATGGCGGAGTGGTTAGAATACAGTATTGCAAGCTCACTCTGCCTACTGCCACGAGTTTGATCCTGATGGGCTCGAGGTTGATCCTTCCAAGGTGAGCAAAATGAGGACCCAGATTGTTGGGGGCAATTTGCTGACTCTGTAAACCACTTAGAGAGGGCTGTAAAGCACTATGAAGCGGTATATAAGTCTAAGTGCTATTGGTATTGCTATTATGTGAAGGCTGATCTCTCTGGAAAAGGTATCATTGTTGGGAAAGATGGGAGGGAAGAGAAGAAGAGGATGCTGAGCTGCAAGGTGGATGAATTCAGTTGCCGTGGCAATGGAGATTTAAAAAGACCAGGTTAGAGATAGATAGATCATTGTGGATATAATCTACCTACGTAGTCACTAGGAGTCAACAACAACTTGATGGCACATAATCAATGAAATCTTTGAGGCCCTTGAAGCAATGTAGTATAAGAACGTTGGACTAGGAGTGTGGAGGCTTGAATTCATGGTGTGATTTTGGACATTGTGCTGAAGAAGAATAACTTTCAAGCAAGCTCAGAATTTAATTGATCGTTAGCAATGGAATATGACAGTGCAATAGTACAATTTTCTTCTATAGTGGGAAGAATATTTCTGGATGGCCAACAGCCAGACTTAATGTTTTCAATGGCAATGATTTGGGTGTAGCTTTATGTGTTTTGGGGGATGTGGTGGCTCAGTGGTTAAAGATATTCGGTGCACCTCGGTATATAGTCACACTGACCACATGATCACGGAATTATCTTTGGACAACGCCAGCTCCCTCAGCTAAGAAATAAAGATGAACACCATCCCTAGAGTCAGATGTGACTAGATAGGGAAACCTTTACCTTTTTAAGTGTTTTCCGTTTGAGGGAAACTTTAGAAGAGGATTTGTCAAATTCATATATTTATGGGATTTTCTTTCAGAAAAGCTCCTTCGTGCCACTGACTAGCATCCGGGCAGCTGAGAAGGTAGAGGAGAAGAGTTTTGGCATCTCCCATGTCATGCAGATCGTCTACACTAACGATGCTGGGCAAGAAGACACAGTTTACCTGCAGTGCAAGGTGGAGACACAACAAGTCACATTTTGCTTGGATGGGGAGGGAGAAGCAAGAATTCATGTGGGTGACTGCATGACACAAGTTGTATTGGTAGATACGACATGCCACTTGTTTTGTGAGATGAGCAGCTATATAAATCAGACAAACAAATGCAAAGAATCCAGCAGTTTCTCACATCTGCAAACCTGAGAGATGCTTTCAAATAAAATGCAAGGGAATCAAAATGTTTTAAGGAGAAACAAACATGCACCCCATTGATACTTTGCCCCAGCAGGTGTAGCACCTGGCCATCTTGGTTTGGATTTAGAAGCTAAGCAGAGTCAGGTCTGGTAAATACCTGGAAGGAAAACCACTAGGAAATCTCAGGGCTGTAGTCAAAATGTCCCCAAAGAAGACAGCAGGAAACTAATTTCATTCTGCTATCAAGAAAAGTATGGATGTATCAATGATTTCACCAGGAGATGAATTTAAGTTGAAAGACACTTTTTGTGAGAGTTTAACAACAGCATAGGCCTGGGTTCTTCATACTTGGCCCTTTTATGACTTGTGGACTTCAACTTCCAGAATTCCTCAGCCAGGCATGCTGGCTGAGAAATTCTGGGAGTTGAAGTCCACAAGTCATAAAAGGGCCAAGTTTGAAGACCCCTGGCATAGGCCTTATTTGGATCATGAGAATGATCCAGCATCAGTTCAATTTAGCTAATTTGGGATGACTCATTGATGGTGTTTCAGTTAGGATTAACACCACCATGGAAAGATTTGACTGCAGTAGATGAAAAGAAGTGATCACAAAGGCAGAATACCAAGAGAAGTTCCATTTTTGCAGTTCCTCTCCAGGTCTTTGTCTTGGTAATGACTGATAACAAGGCCATGTAGCCCTCCAATAAGTAGTTAACATACCATGAAAGGAATTTATTCAATTAAATTAATTTAGCCCCATCCACCTCAAAAAGGAAAGGATTTGTCTCTAGCTAATTATAATCTTCTTTGAACATTGGGTCAATTAAATGCAGTTGAGATAACCTATATTAGGCATTGACATTTAATTAGACCATGAAACCATTGTATCAAGTAAATTTGGAAAACAAATGAATCAGGTGAATCATGTGTGAATCAGGTTGTAATTCCATTCTATATTTGCATTTTATCATTGGTTAATTTTAATATGCATGTTTTAGTATCAACTATGGTTCAAGCATCCTGTTACATTTCTATTCTCTCATGTACGGATGTCACAATGAACAAGACTGAAGGTCAAATGGATCTTTTAAGGGAATTGAAACAACTCAACATTGGCTTCCTGACTTTTATGTCCAGTCTGCTTTCTATTGACTTGCAGTGTACAGCACAGGAAAAACCACAGCCTGGGTCTGTTTCCCTGATTGTAGGGCAGAAAAGAGGGGAATATGAGCCGAGGTGACGCAGCAGTTAGAGTGCAGTACTGCAGGCCACTTTAGCTGACTGTGTTCAGCAGGTCAGCGGTTCAAATCTCACCGGCTCAAGGTTGACTCAGCCTTCCATCCTTCCGGGGTAGGTAAAATGAGGACCCAGATTGTTGGGGGCAATGTAAATATATATATACATTGCTTACTGGTGTACACCACTTAGAGAGTGCTTGCACTTAAAGCGGTATATAAGTTTCATAAATAAATAAATAAATAAATAAATAAAATATGTTAAAGGCCCTGGCTACATCTGGTCAGAAGAATCCACGGCATTAATGTCTTTCTGCCTTGCCTTGGTTTACAGTGTGTGAATGAGCTGAGCCAGTGGCTCTCAGCCTTACGGAAAGTCTGCGGGAACAACGTGGGAATGCTATGCTCCTATCATCCAGGGGTTTTCAGAGGAGAAAAATGGAGCTGCTGCCACCAAAAGGACAAAGCAGGTATTGCATCCTTTGGCAACACTACTGTATTGCCCTTGATATTTCCCATATCTCTGGGCGTGGGTATGTATATCACAATGTTTTCTCCTTAAGTTTATTTTAATATGTATCAAGATATAGAGTGCTTTTAAAAAAAGAAAAACTATCCAAAGTATAGAAAAGAAAAATGTACAGCTACTCCTTGTGTAATGATCGCTACTTACAACCCGGTTCCAGAATTCCCGCCTCCCCCCCCCACACACATGGTCATGTGATTGCATTTTGGACAATTGGCAACCAGCTTGCATTTATGGCTGTTTGCAGTATCCCGAAGTCATATAACTGTAATTTTCAGCATTTTTTGCCAACTTCCAGCATTTACATCCCATTTCCAGCGAAAAATTCCCATTGAAGAAAATGGGTTTGTTTAAAGACTGCAGTTTCACTTATCAACCATGGTCATGCTTCATAACTGTGGCATTCGCTTAATAACAAGGTATTTGCTTAAGGTTGCAAAATCAGGCATGATCACATGGTGACCCGGTTAATGAGTGCCACAACTTACAACAATAATTCCAGGCTCAATAATGCTTGTGAGTCAAGGATTGCCGGTACACTGACACACACACACTGACACACACACACACACACACACACACATCTATTAAGTAATTATACAGAATCAGTTACTTCAAAACCTGAAGCGGCAGGTGGCCTAGAGGTGAAAACTCTCGCCTCCCACTTGAAAGGTTGAGAATTCAATCCTAGGCAGCAACAGATGTTTTTCTATCAGAGCGCAAAGAAAAAAATATCTGCTGTGAACTCAGCAATAGGCATCAGGAAAGGCATCCAGACAGTAAATGCTCAGTTCCCTTCAGTTACCCTGATTCCCACCCCGAAGCAAGGGATTACAGAGTCATAAAAATAAAAAGTTATTTCAAAATCTGATCATATTGAAGTAGTTTTATAACATATAATCCAGCTTGCTCTTATTTTGGTGCTTGATTTTGATACTTTTCTACCTGGTGGAATGTTGGAAAAGCATTATGTAGTCTGTTCAAACCATCCATCAGTATGATTGCTCACCATAACCTGACCAGAGCAGAAGAAACCAGTGAAAGAAAGACTTTTCAAAATAGGGTGGACCAAGTCAGGGACTACAGAAAAAATATTCCTGAAAAATATTTCCTGCTGCATCCCTGTAGGGGAGGCATTGGGGCAAGAGCTTTGCATGCTGGCAGTTGCTCCATTGTAAAGCCCTTTGACTCATAATGGAGCTGGTATTCCAGAAGCCCTATTAGGTATGTGTAAGGACTCACCTCAGCCGAGGTGGCGCAGCAGTTAGAGTGCAGTACTGCAGGCCACTTTAGCTGACTGTGTTCAGCAGGTCAGCGGTTCAAATCTCACCGGCTCAAGGTTGACTCAGCCTTCCATCCTTCCGAGGTAGGTAAAATGAGGACCCAGATTGTTGGGGGCAATGTAAATATATATATACATTGCTTACTGGTGTACACCGCTTAGAGAGTGCTTGCACTTAAAGCGGTTTATAAGTCTCATAAATAAATAAATAAATAAATAAATAAATAAATAAATAAATAAATAAACCACCCAAGAAAGCAGAACTCTTGAAACAGGCATTGTCTCAAAAGGAAACTTTTATTAGGGGTTAGTGACAGTAGGGAAGTCAAGGAGAGATCTGGGGAAAATCCTGCTTAAACTGTATAATTAAGCTAGCAATCTTCCTCCTCCCACCTGAATCATAATGTCCATTTGAAATCCAGCCAATCCACAGGTGGCACGATATGTGGGTAACTGGCATAATTGGCCCGCATCTCAAGGTCTTCTCCAGTTTCATTTCTCTGTAACTGCCTCCCTGATAAGGGAGATACATTCCTTTCTCAAGTGGATAGAGGCGGGAAAAGAAAAGCAGAAAGCGAACGTTATCCCAAGCGAAAGCAATAGAATAGAAAGCAATAGAAATCAAAAGCAGTAGAATGGCCGGCCCCAAAACAAGAGCACAAGAGTGTATGTGCAAGGAAGACAATAAGGATTTGGGGACCTGACATACGCTTTTCCATCCCAATGGATATGTTGGGAATATATTACAAGTAATCCTCACTTAACAACAGTTCATTTAGTGGCTGTTCAAAGTTACGACGGCGCTGAAAAATGTGGCTTGTGACCGGCCCTTTTGCTTGCAACCATCGCAGAGTCCCTGTGATTGAGATTCAAATGCTGGACAACTGTCACACATTTGCAACAGTTGCAGCATCCCATGGTCACGTGATCGTCATTTGCAACCTTCCCAGCCATTTCCTTCCCATCAACAAAGTCAATGGGAAAGCCAGCGGAGAAGGCCATAAATCACATTCTATGATGTCTCGCTTAATGACTATGGAAATTCATAGAACAACTGCCGTAAAAAAAGAGTTGGAAAATCTGGTGTGGTCACGTGATGCCTCACTTAATAGCCACCTCACTTAATGAGTTTTCTGGCCCCTATTGTGGTTGTAAATCAAGGACTACCTGTATATAAACAGGCTTGGGACTTTGTAGGGCTGTCAGTAAGATAATTCTCCAACATTAGTGATCCCTTCCTTGCTTTGAAGGTCTTGGTTGTGACAAAACACGGCATGGAGTTACTCTGCGGGAATGGAACGATCCCTTGGATCCTGACTTGGAGGCTCAGCTGATATTCCAGCATCTGCTTGCAATCCAAGAAGTAATGAGGTGACTTGACTGACCGTGCCTTTACCCAATGCTGAAATAGCCTTGTAAAACTGGGGTACTTTGGCTTTTAATTCTTTATGGCCTGGATGTGCTGCATTCATTAGCATTTAGGGAATTGAGGTTAAGGCTTCATGCAGCTGAAGGTGGAACTGTTTTGCAGTCAAGATTTGTAAAGGAAAAGAAAGCAGTTCAAGGAGGTGGGGTTGAAATATTGTGAAGAGATGCTATGTATGACTACATTGATGACTAGGCAAATAACGTTGCCTGTTTTTCGGAGAGAGCAGTCTAAAGGCTTCAGTAAAACCAACTGATAGAAACATTTAAAGACGATAAAAACTAAACGCTTAAAGCAGTATTTTTCAAACTTGGCAACTTTAAGAGGGGTGAACTTTAACTCCCAGAATTCCCTAGCCAGCCAGCCTCTTAAAGTTGCCAAGTTTGAAATACATTACTTTTTCCAGTTTGACAGCGTACTCTCTGGAAACTGAAAAACCATTGAGGTTTTGAGGGGATTATTGTGTAATGTCTCTTTTCTTGCTATTCACAAGTGCATCCATTGGTGAAGTTTGCTGAACAATTTATTAACTTTCACCTTGTTTTATTTTTACCATCCAAAGGGAAAAGTATATGGAATTGTCAGTGCTGGAAAAAAGTGAAAAACGCCAGACAAAAGGTATACATTTTTAATTAATTTAATTTAGTTTAGTTTAATTTAATTAGATTGATGCCCAGAGTCCATTGGAGTTGGGAGATAATACATTTAAATAAGAAGAAGATAGGTGGATAAAAAATGCCAAATCCAGTCCAAATATCCGGCTGATTGTGCAACAAACCATAATAATAATAATAATAATAATAATAATAATAATAATAATAATAATAATAACAACAACAACAACAACAACAACAACTCAATGGAGGAAATACCATAAAGGCAATCAACACCTGGGCAATCCCAGTTATTAGGTACACAGCTGGAATAGTGGACTGGACTCAAGCAGAACTAAAAGCAATGGATAGGCAGACCAGAAAAATAATGACAGTGAATCATGCCCTTCATCCACGCAGTGACATTGATAGACTTTATCTACCAAGGCAAATAGGTGGGCGTGGAATACTACAAGTACATCAGATGGTTGAAGAAGAAAAAATGGCTTTGGAAGAATATCTGAAGAACAATGATGAAGATGCACTGAAATTAATATATCAGGAAGGCTTACTAACTACTGGAGAGACCAAACTGGCCTACAAGAAAGACCAAATGAAGAACAGAATAGAGGCATGGGAAGACAAAGCACTACATGGCCATTACATGAAAAAAATAGCTGGGAAAGCAGATAATAATAAAACCTGGCAATGGCTAAGAGCAGGAAAATTGAAGAAAGAGACCGAGGGACTAATTCTGGCTGCACAAGACCAAGCCTTAAGGACAAATGCATACAAAGTCAATATTGAGAAGACAGCAACAGACAGTAAGTGCCGCCTATGCAAAGAAGCTGAAGAAACAGTGGACCACTTGGTAAGCTGTTGCAAGAAAATTGCACAGACTGATTACAAGCAGCGGCATGACAAAGTAGCAACAATGGTGCATTGGAAGATCTGCAAAAAATATCATTTGCCTGTAAGCACAAACTGTTGGGATCATAAAATAGAGAAAGTCATAGAAAATGATAAAATTAAACTGCTCTGGGACTTCAGAATTCAAACAGACAAGCACCTGCAACATAACACCCCAGACTTAACAATTGTCGATAAGAAAGACAAAAAAAGTCTGGATAGTGGATGTGGCAGTGCCTGGAGATAGCAGAATAGAAGAGAAAGAACTGGAGAAGATAACAAAATACAAAGACCTACAAATAGAAATAGATAGACTGTGGCAAAAGCAAGCAAGGGTAGTACCAATAGTCATAGGCTCCTTGGGTGCAATTCCAAAACAACTGGAGCACCACTTGAACACCATTGGCATTGACAAATTCGCTATTAGTCAATTGCAAAAGGCGGCCTTATTAGGAACTGCTTCCATCCTGCGACGATATCTATAATACCATCAAACATCCACATCTGCCTCTCCCAGGTCCTGGGTAAGGACTCGATAGGTAGACAAAATGCCAAATCCAGTCTGAACATCTGGCTACTGTGCGATGATCGATAATATTATTATTATTATTATTAATAATAATAATAATAATGGAGAGCGAAGTTGAGGTTGCATTTGTTCATAGTGCTGTGTCCACACAATACCTTTAACCAGAGGTGAACAGAGAAGGACAAGGGGGACATGATAGCAGTGTTCCAATATCTCAGGTGCTGCCACAAAGAAGAGGGAGTCAAGCTATTCTCCAAAGCACCTGAAGGCAGGACAATAAGCAACGGATGGAAACTAATCAAGGAGAGAAGCAACCTAGAACTAAGGAGAAACTTCCTGACAGTTAGAACAATTAACCAGTGGAACAACCTGCTTCCAGAAGTGGTGAATGCTCCAACACTGGAAGTTTTTAAGAAAAGACTGGACTACCATTTCTCGGAAATGGTATAGGGTTTCCTGCCTGAGCAGGGGGTTGGACTCGATGACCTCCAAGGTCTCTTCCAACTTTTTTTTTATTATTATTTGGATCATCGCACAATCAGCCAGATGTTCAGACTGGATTTGGCATTTTGTCTACCTATCGAGTCCTTACCCAGGACCTGGGATAGGAAGATGCTTGCTTTTCTGTTTTTATATTTTTAATGCTTTTTATAATTAATAATGATCAGGAACGGTTGCTGGAATTGGGTATGTCTAGTTTAACGAAGAGAAAGACGAGGGGGAACATGATAGCAGTGTTCCAATATCTCAGGGGCTGCCACAAAGAAGAGGGAGTCAAGCTATTCTCCAAAGCACCTGAAGGCAGGACAAGAAGCAACGGGTGGAAACTCATCAAGGAGAGAAGCAACCTAGAACTAAGGAGAAACTTCCTGACAGTTAGAACAATTAACCAGTGGAACAACCTGCCTCCAGAAGCGGTGAATGCGCCAACACTGGAAGTTTTTAAGAAGAAACTGGACAGCCATTTGTCTGAAATGGCAGGGTTTCCTGCCTGACTAGATGACCTCCAAAGTCCCTTCCAACATTGTATTATTATTATTATTATTATTATTATTATTATTATTACTTCTGACTCCCCTACTCCATTGCTTCCTTCGGCCTCACCTGCAAGGCAGCTCCTGAAGATTAAGAAAACGTAGTCCTTGGTAGGAAAAAGGTTGTTCTACAGATCAAAGCTGTCCTTTTTTAGGAATATCAAATGATTAGCGGGTTTGGATATCTCTTTGTAACTCACCTGCCCTCTCTTCTTTTCCATCTCTCTTGCTACAGATCCTGAAAATGCTGACAGTCCCATCAGGCTTTTCCAGATACTACATAATTTAGAAGAAATATATCAAAAGGAGGTTTCCCGGTCAACTGACATGGCCCAGCAGAATCAGAATCCCTTGGTGGAACTGCAGACGTGACTCCCACAAAAAAAAAAAAAAAATCATTTGGGGGGCAAGTTCCATCTTTGCCCTGTTCAAGCAGAATGGTTGCTACATCCCCAGAATGACAACTACACACTCTGGACTCAATTTGGTCTGCTGAGATGGAATGGGAGAGACCATCCCTGTGCTCAGAAGGTCCTACCCTCTCTTTTGGGATCTCTCCTGTAATTCAGTTTGTTTGGCCTCTAGTTTCTGTGGATCATTGAGACTGGCTCTTTTATCCCTGTTCATCCACCAGAATTGGACAATTCCTTTTTTTTTAAAAAAAGACTGGGTTTCTCCATCTCATGATGCTTTTGATAATGCAGTTACTCTGTTGGGGGTGGGGGTGGGGTGATAGGGTAAAGTTTCTGTGCCTTTCATTCTTCCATCTTTTTTCCTTCTGACTTTTCCTTATGTAGCTCTAAAAACACAGAATGTTGCATTAGTGGTCTGAATCTTGTGAAGTAACATTTCCCATTTTACACAGAACTTTTTTGTTAGTAGTGGACTTCTTTAAGAAGCAACATTTTCCAGATTCTGAGCTCTGATGCGTAGAAGAGCTGCACTGAATTAGAACAGGGTGCGGTGGATATCTGAACTTTGGGGAACACCATAAAACTGCAGCAAACTGCTCAAATGTTATATTAAAACCACAGCTGTAGCATCTGACCCAGGCAAAAGAGAGAGAACAATGTCTCTGTCTAATTCTTTTTTGGCAGCTACGGATTATCCAGTAAGACAAATGAAGATGTTGGTCTTAATATAGGTAAGAGGAAAGAAGAATTGCTTCACAATTTTTTTAACTTTGATCCTTTGTCCCTTCAAGCCCCCAAAACATTGAATGTACAATAAAGCTTTTTTTAAAAAAAAATGGGCTCCATCAATGTCTGACATTTTTTAACCAGTCCCTTTGAAGAACATCAGATTGGCATGTAAATTGCAGAGGAAATTTTGAGATTAAAAACATGGTGATAAAAACCTGTACGCTTTGTCTCCATAGCTCAGAGAGACAAGAACAGAAGCAAAGAATGACCCGAGAACTCATCTATTATTTTCTTTTTTTAACAGATATTTATATTACGTTTCAAACTCAAACATTAAAATACAAGCTAAAATAAAGGGGAAAGAGGAGAATAACAGAACATGTTAAAAATGGCAAAAAAATGTACATCAAACAAATTATATTATAAAGGTGACTTCCAACTTAGTGCAGAGCTACAATACGACAGCCTCTCTAATTAAGTGAATAATCAATAGTTCTATATTTCATTATTCGTCCATACAAAATCTATGTCTATAGGCAAATCCACCAAACATAACGCTTGAAGACCAACTATAATAAATTTACCAAGTATTGGATGTCCATAGGAGGGGTGGGATTGCAAATGACAAAATCTATGTGATTGCATCACACAAACATGGCAACTGATTTACATCATACTCTGGGACACAAATGATAAAGGCAGCATTGTGATGATGTCACCTTGTGCATGTGGTCATTTTACCATTGCAGTGTGTTGTGAAGGTCACTGGTTACTGCATATGTAAATGCTCAGGAGTCACCAACCCTTGGGGCTGATTTTTTTGAATTCTGAAAATAAATTTTCGGCATTTTTGCAAGATGTCTGCTGAGCTATTCACAAAAATAGCTGCCATGTGAGGGGAAACTAGGTACCCAGTGATAAATACAATCTGTCACTTCAACATCCTTCCCACAGCATGCCTTTCCTTACTTTACAGTATTCCTTTTGAAGAGAATACTTTGCCTGGAGAAATTTTCTTAGTAAGATTGCAGATAATAATAATAGTAATAGTAGTAGTAGTAGTAGTAGTAGTAGTAGTAGTAGTAGTAGACGACGACAAATTTACCATCAGTCCATCCTGCAACGATATCTATAATACCATCAAACATTCACATCTGCCCATACCAGGTCCGTGGTAAGGACTCAATAGGTAGACAAAAATGGCAAATCCTGTCTGAACATCTGGCTGACTGTGCGATGATTAATAATAATAATAATAATAATAATAATAATAATAATAATAATAATAATAATAGAGTTGGAAGGGACCTTGGAAGTCTTCTAAACCAAATCCCTGCTCAGGCAGGAAACTCTATACCATTTCAAACAAATGGTTGTCCAGTCTCTTCTTAAAAACGTCCAGTGTTGGAGCATTCACAACTTCTGGAGGCAGGTTGTTCCCCTGATTAATTGTTCTAACTGTCAGGAAATTTCTCCTTGGTTTTATATTGCTTCTCTCTTTGATTAGTTTCCATACATTGCTGGAAACTGTAGTTGGCCATTGCTTCCTTCCTAGGCTGAGAAGTTAAGACTGGCCCAAGGGCAACCAGCGGGCTTCGTGCCCAAGGTAGCATTCGAACTCACGGTCTCCCGATTTTATCCCGGTGCCTTAACCACTACAGTACTGTGCACCAAAGCGACTCTCAAATACCCACTAGGGGGTGCTAAAGCGCAGCCTAGAAATCGAATTGCTGCTGGAGACGTGATGAAGCGTTTCGTCCTCCTTGCCGCTGGGTGACGCACGGTCGTCCTAATGGCAGAAAGAATCTGAACCCGGAAAGAGTAGTATAATTTTGACACCGGAAATATATTTCTCACGCAAGCGGCCGCTTTGCTGAAGAAGCGTCTGCGAGAAGCAAGTGGGGAGGATGAACGCCCCTCCGGCCTTCGAGTCCTTTTTACTCTTCGAAGGGGAGAAAAAGTCAGTGGGAGAGGGAAAAGGGACGGAGGGGAGGCAGCCAAAATCGACCCTCCTGGTTAAGGCGAGCGGGAGAAGGACTGTGCTGGTCCCTGTGTCTCCAACCCCTGCATGGGAGGGTTTGGGGGTGGGGAAAAGCAGATGGAGCAGGAGGGCTATTCGTGACGCCTTGAACTCCTGAAAGAAAGGTTTTCTTCGTTTATTTAAAGAACTTGGAGGCGGCTCGCATCAACCGTCTAGCCCAGGGGTAGGCAACCTTGGCTCTTTTATGACTCGCTGGCTCAGGAATTCTGGGAGTTGAAGTTCACGAGTCATAAAAGAGCCAAGGTTGCCTACCCCTGGGCTAGCCCTAAAGGGCGAGTTTTTGCCAGAAGAAGCCCTCAGCTTTACTTTTTTGACATATCTAAGTTAAATCCATCAAGATCTTGAAAAATCAACGCCTGTGAAATATGCTCATGCTAGATGAAAAAGCACCTTTGGGATGCTCATGCTAGATTTTTGAAAAAGATCTCAGTTGAAATTATCTCTTGTTGACTTCATGAGTGCATCTTCAAACAATACAGATATTTTGCCATTGAATACTTCCTGAATGTTTATTTCCTTTTTAAATTTCAGATTAACTGGCAACCCTAAAATATCTTGTGTCCAAATCCCAATTGGGTCCAACCCCATTTATTTTTTTGTGAACAGATAAGCTTAGCTTAGCTTACCTGCTCATAAAAAAATAAATGGGGTTGGACCCAATTAGGATTTGGACACAAGATATTTTAGGATTGCTGGTTAATCTGCATATGCTGCCACCTGACTAAACATACTGGGCTTTGAAAACACATATGCAAATCCTAAGAGCTCACCAACCTGTTCATGGGCATACTGCCTCTTGGAGATTTACACATGTAATTATTAATCCATATTTATTTCATTCCTTTTTTTTCATCCATTATCTAAATGAGCTCTAGTTTCCGCCTCCACACATATTAAGCAATTGAGTTGGAAGATCATTTAATACAATTTATTAGAGTACTTTGACAAAGGTGTGGGGGGTGGGCTTTGTGAAATAAGAGAAAGCAAGAGGAACCTGAGGCAAATCCTAGGAATACGTTTTATAATTAGTACAGCAGAAAGAAATACAAAATAAAAGTTGTTTGGATGGAAGAAATCATCCTATCCAATTGCATCAGAAAGATGGGACAGTTTGCTAAATATCTCATAATATTAAGCCATGATGATTTGAATGAGCATTGTTTTAAAAGTAGAAAAAATAAAAGCATGGGGAAAGATATCACAGTCTCTTTGAGTCTGTTGTAAAAGGATACAGTTGCAGTCAGTTCAAATAGTACATAAAGTGAATATCTCTTTGTTATCTCTGCCTGAGAAAGTTTTTATCTTGCAGTTAAAAAGTTACAGAAATTTGGTTTTCAAGACAGAAAACTTCTGCATTTCATTCTACCTTATAAGGTTATGATCAAATATAAAAAGCAAAAGAAAATACAGTACAACAAAACAAAACTTATAGTTGTACGGCCCTCAGCTTCTTGATGTTGTGATATTTTTCTCATTTCTTCCTTTTGTTCTATATTTGGCAGGAATATTCGAATTTTGTAAAGGTTTCTGTTGTATGTGTTTTGATTTATAATTTGTGCATTATAGCTTGATGTGTGTTGATTGATTTTCACCAGTTTTTAGGACTTGCTGGATTTTGTTTCTCCCCAGGTAAACATGTGGATTGACTTTCTCTAAGGCAATTTCCTATGCACTAAAGATCATAGCTTTTAGTTAATTAGAATACTTTCTAGTAGGAAATTGGGGTAGAAATATTATAAACAAACTTACAGCTTTACATCCAAGTACGGTCTCTGTTATTTTCTCTGTTATCTTTATTTTAAAAAGAGCCATTACAATATACTGATCCATGGAGGTTTTCTGGGAGCCAATTCCTCTTTCTTAGTCCAGTCTATCACACAAGCATGGTTGCAGAGAAAATTGGAAGAAGGGATGCATGGACCCTGCCCTAAAAAATGGCAGTGATTGAAAAAATTGAAAAATAAATATGTATCTAATGATTAAAAGATTTTTGACAGCTGTAAATGCTGCTTCCACTCTGAAATGGCCTTGTAAAACATCTTAAACTTTGTGTCAAGGTAGCTTTATGTATTTATAGTAAAGAGAGGGTTAGAATTAGGTTTTCCATTGAAAAGGACCATGTTTGTGACTTGTCTATGCAGGTTTTCAAAAGGTCCTATCTGAATCCTTGAAAGTTGTGATGTGTTAGTATGAACTATTTCATGGATTAGTTAGGCTGGATTAACATAATCTAGGTTTACATAAAACAGTTGTAAGATTGTTGCACGATTATAAGAGAAGACTGCACAAGCTGGTGTTAATATGATCCACCCCTCTTTTTTTTTTCTCCTGGTCTTTCTCATTGAAGGATTACAATAAATAAGGACACAAAAGTGCCAAATGCTTGCCTGTTTACAATCAACAAAGAAGATCACACTCTTGGGAATATAATTAAGTCGTGAGTAGCAATGATTCTTTTTTTTTTTTTTTTAAATCACACCTTTATTATGAACTCACTTGAGCCTGTGACCGTGAATTCACTATCAGGCATGCAATATAATAAACATTTTATTGTAAAAATAGAAGTATGTCCATCATTGTCCTCGATGTTATTAGATTTTATTCTTTAGATGAATAGGCTGAATCCACCAGGTAAACAACTAGAGATCTCATACGTTTTTTCTTACAAGGCCTCTGGGTTTACACACCCTGGCCTGTCTTCTCTCTTTGGCAGACTGGTAGTTACTGTGACCACTATCTATCTTCTGTGGACGTCTTTACCGGGAGTCTTCCCTCTAAACCACAGCAAGTGGGAGAGATAGTATGATGTGCTTTATTGCAGGGAGGGGTCCCCAACCTGTGGGTCGCAGCCCACTACCGGGCCATGGCCTCTTGGCCATCGGGTCGCATGAAGGCCAGTTCATGTGCACTCATCCCCCACACTTGTGCTAGCGCCACCCTAAGCATCCCACCGGTGCTAGCACTGCCCCACTCTGAGTGTCCCACTAGCACTAGCGCTGCTCTGAGCATCCTGCCAGAGCTAGCGATTCTTGTTCTTACAAAATGAGTTGATTTAAGAATGCAGTTAAATTGGTCAACTGCCAAGAAAACGCAGAAATAATAATGAAGTTTTCAGTATCCCTACCAAATCTACTTGTAAAACCCCAGAACCCATACAGACCATGTGGAGAGGTGGTGTAATTTAAATCTACAACACAGTGAAGGACATATCTATTTAAACTTCCCCTTACCTTAATTTCCTTTTCTGAATTCTCTGTTCTACAATATGCTAAAACGTTCAGTGTTTAATCATCATTCTGAATATAACCTTATTTGTTGGTTTTGTTTCTCCTTTCTAATGGATTTTTTCCCCTTGAAATTTTGAAGAACCTTGTAAATTATTGGGGTCTTTCAGTACTGGTAGGTTCTTTTCCTAATGAATGGATGGAGCTATTTTGGCTACAAGAGAGCCAGTGCTCAGTACAAACATACACACAGAGTTTATAATATGTAGAAAAGAGAATTGCCATTAGTCATAGTTACCAAAACAGAAACTTTTTTTTCTAGTTGTTAAAAATGAGCAACAAGAAACATATTCTCTTTACATTCTTAATTGTATAGTTCCAACCAGCTGTCTTGGAAATGAACCACTAGATTGATTGGCCCTTAGTCATCCAGCATCAGAGTTATAATTTTAACAATAAAATGTTGTTTGTTTTTCCCCAGGCAGTTGTTGAAAGATCCTCAAGTGTTATTTGCAGGATACAAAGTCCCCCATCCCCTTGAACATAAAATAATCATTCGTGTTCAGACAACCCCTGATTACAGCCCCCAAGAAGCTTTTACCAATGCAATCACAGATCTCATCAGTGAGCTTTCTCTTCTTGAGGAGAGATTCCGGGTAAGTCAGCAGATCCTAACAATCGTATGATTTTTGGGGCAAAGGGCTGCTTGCCAAAGGCAGAATGATAAAACCTAAAGCTGTGTCTGTGAATGAGGTGAGATATTTCAGCTCTGTTAAATACTTAGTTTCATTGGGTGCTTTAATTGTGTGGCTTCCCTTATAGCAAGATGGATTTTGATGCTGAAAATTGAAACTTTAATCAGGGGTTCTCAACCTTGGCAACTTTAAGACTTGTGGACTTCAAAGCTGGCTGAGGAATTCTGGGAGTTGAAGTCCACAAGTCTTAAAGTTGCCAAGGTTGAGAACCCCTGCTTTAGATTGAGGCAGGTTAAGCCTCCTAGGGAGGCAGAATCTGGGAATTATCACCCATAAGATATTTAAGTATGTAGTTGTTAAGAGAGTAAGAAAGCAAGAAAATTGCCTGTTAATACTTTTCGATCTGAGTAGGCTCTAAGATCCATTATTTATTCCCACCTCTAATATGTGAGTTCTGGGCAATAAAGTCGCATAGTTGTCAAACATCATCAAAAATCAGCGTGTGGATCTTCTCTGGCAGGGAAAATATCCTTTGTGATATTTCCATCAAATTGCATTCCTAGTAGCAATGGGGCTTCCCATTGAATAATTAGGCACAGAGAAAGAAAGATGGCATTTTAAGCAGCTTTGTTGACTTTTCAGTGGCTTGGTTTTCTGCCAAGAATGAGAAAAATCACAAGTATAAGAAAATGTTGTAGCTTCTTTGATAATTTCACCAATGTGCCATGAATGATGGTGGATATTTGAGTTATTTGTAAAAAAATAAAAATAAAGGTGGGATATAAATAAATAAATGCATTTGGTCTGGTTAGGTTTAGCTCATGGGTTGTGATGTTCAGATAGACTTGGGATAATGGCTGCTCCTTTATTACTTTTATAATCACACCTGAAATGAAATTGTCAAGATTTTTATTTATTTATTTTTACTTTCCAGTTACCATGTGTTTGTTTTTCTCTTAGGTTGCCATCAAAGACAAACAAGAAGGAATTGAGTAGTAGTTACGTTTATCAAATATATTTGTAAATAAAATCCATTTTTTCAGTGTAGTAGTCTATAAGAAATGTATTTATGATCACTTTGCTACTTCATAACCTCTAAGAAATTTCAATATAGGTCTTTTATATGAAAGTTCAAGTTGGCTTATGTGATAGTTAATAAAGTATACTTTTAATTGTTGCTCTCTTTTGAAGTGATTCATACCTTCAGCAAAAACATGATAAAATAGTTGTTGAAATTCCCTCCTCTAACTTAAAACTGACATTAATATACAGCGTGCTTTTCATTTCAGTTAGAAATACCTCTTGATTTTCTTTTGGATGCATAGTTGTTTTTACTCTGCTTTCTCAAAATGTGCCTTGGTATAATTCTTCCTTGCCTTTCTGCTAAGATACTACTTTTTAAAAATTATGCGGGCAAACTGTATATCTATGTACAATATCCTACTGAAGTTTTAACTAAAGAAGTGGGTAGTTTTCAGTTTCAGTACTGGCAGAGAATAACTCTCTTGAATTAAATCCTATATTGTTTTAAGTGGTTGAAAAAAGGCAAGTATTCTAATTGCCTCCATCATGTACTCTAGTTTGCTGAACATCTTTTAAAATGTAGCATTCTATACTACATGCAGTACCAGAGATTCGCTCTTTATGCAGCTCTGAACTGAATGAGGCTTAGGATTTTTCCCCTTCTATTGCTGGCTCAAGTTTATGTATATTTAATTCTTGCACTTACCACTTTCCTTTCTGTTGAAGGAAGGCAAAACTTACAAGACAATGGTGATTGCTGAGGGGAAATGTATCTACTCAGAACCCTTCCTCGCAAGAAAAGTCACCCAGTCATCCAAATTAAACAGCTACATTGAAAATAAGGTGCCCTTCTCCAGTTTAGATAGTAGTACTGATTATGTTCTGCAAATGAGGGCAGGATGACAAAATATTCCATCACTTTTTTTAAAAAAATGGTGGTGGTTTAGCCTCCTTTCTTGGTAGCCATTTCAATTTGACTCAATATGCTTTCCCAAGCACATATTTTCTGAGCCTCAGGGTATCCCCAGAGGCAATTGTATATATCAGGAAGAATAGGGAATGCATTGCAGAACAGCTATTATTCCCTAAGAGTAGGCCAAGTAGGCAGAGTTAATTACGCCAAGAGTCAGATTATGAAGAATTAATTATGAACTTAAAATTTTACTTATGTCCTCACCTTATGAAATAATAATTTTACTCAAGGTTCTCATCTTTATCCCTTTTTGCAGTTTGAACTAAGCGGAATCTTTCTTTATGGTACTTGCCAGAATGAAATTATCCTTGTACATACCAGTCGATGCTACTTTACAATTAAATCATGAGTATTTCTTTTCACTGAGTTCAATAGTCTTGCCTGCACAGTGCAAACTTGGATAGGTAGCTTTCCCCAGCATCCTTCAAGATAGGGGCTTAAGTAAATATATTTAACATATTTTTTTAAAAAAGTGCTTCAATTATGTTGTATCAAGTTTTATTAAATACTGTCCTATAAAACAAATACACTTAAGACACCAATAAAGCAAAGTCACAGTTAAGAGATGTCGGCATTGGCAACATCATATAGTTCCAGCCAATACCTTTGGTTGATTTTCTTGCATTGAGATATATCTATATATATCTATATATATGAATTTCATCCCATCGATGCCCGTCCCTATCCCTATCCCACCCTGATTATTCTCAGAACAGTCACAAATACTGCACTACTGAAATGTGGTTGAAAAAATGGGGTTGCTCCTGGGTTGCCAACATGGCTAGACTTTCTTCCATATTGCGGCAATGTTGACATCTGTCAGTGCGACTAGATATGTGAAAGTGGGATCTGTGACCACGTTATTCACCAAGACATCTGTCAGCAACTCGCCATTTGCCTTCAATTCCGGCCATTTTAGAATCTATGTGGGAAAAAAGAGAGTGAATTTATCCAGAAACTCACGAGATTCACAAAGTTATTTTATTGCACTAGAAAAAGTTCAGGAGATCAGCTATGCAATTTTTAAGCATATTCTCTATCTGTAAACTGCTTACAGAGGACTGTAGTGTTACTCCAGTTTAAATAAGCCTTTAAAAAAAATCTTGCCCACTTGGATGGTTCTCAAAAATTTCTTTCTCCTTTTGTTTTTGGGGAGTTTCTCTGAGCTGGAATATGCCATTTGATGGATTAATGCAATTTTAGCTACAGAAAGATTCACACAAAAGCAAGCCAAGTCAATTAATATGCAGGAAATATTGGTGTATTCCTCTCCCCCAAGTCCTCTGTACAAAAGTCTGAAGGAAAATTAATGTAAAGCTAAATAATAAAATATAACACCAGATCATAATACTTAAAAGGCCAATGAAGGAAGCAAGAGAATACAAAGCTCAGTAATGCTACAGATCTGGTAGAATAAGGATTTCTGTTTTCATATAAGTTCCCTGGGGCAGAGAATGTCCTAAACTGAAGAGATAAGATGCTTTCCTCCATGTTTGCCAATTGTATTTCTGATGGAGTAAGAAACAGAATCTCCTTTCCCGGCTAGAATGGATTAAGCAAGCCTTAAGGCAGTGGTTCTCAACCTGTGGGTCGGGACCCCATTTGGGGTCGAATGACCATTTCACGCTGTCCGCCAAACCACGCTGTCCGCCATTTTTTTCCCTTTTCCCTAGCTGTCCTACTCCCTCTTATTGGTGGCCACACCCACTTGGGGGTCACAACATGGGGAATTGTATTATGGGGTCACGGCATTAGAAAGGTTGAGAACCACTGCCTTAAGGGATCTGAAGTGTTAACTATTGTAAGAATATTTATATTTGGCAAATCAGTTACAGTATATGACTCTTGTTCTGCTACTTAGTTCCGAATCTCAGCCTTCTGATTTGTAATTCTGAAGGTTATATTTTTGGACCTTTTATCCTTGCCTTTTACACATTTTCTTTAAAATTGCAATGGATATTTCTCACTGCAGCCAAGAAATTAAAAGATGCTTGCTCCTGGGGAGGAAAGCTATGGCAAATCTAGACAGCATACTAAAAAGCAGAGACATCACCCTGCCAACAAAAGTGCGTATAGTCCAGGCCATGGTTTTCCCAGTTGCAATGTATGGCTGTGAAAGTTGGACCATAAGAAAGGCTGAGCGCCAAAAATTGAGGCCTTTGAACTATGGTGCTGGAGAAGACTCCTGCGAGTCCCTTGGACTGCAAGGCGTTCAAACCGGTCAGTCCTAGAAGAGATCAACCCCGACTGCTCTTTAGAAGGCCAGATCCTGAAGTTGAAACTCAAATACTTTGGCCACCTAATGAGAAGGAAGGACTCACTGGAGAAGGGCCTAATGCTGGGAAAGATTGAGGGCAATAGAAGAAGGGGACGACAGAGAATGAGATGGCTGGATGGAGTCACTGAAGAAGTAGGTGTGAACTTAAATGGACTCCAGAAGATGGTAGAGGACAGGAAGACCTGGAAGACGTTGTCCATGGGGTCATGATGGGTCGGACATGACTTCGCAATTAACAACAACAAAGAGTTTTCTCTATATTAATCCTGGCAATTTTATATGTATGGACACAAAGGTTTGTCAATCTCCGCACGTTGGCTGGGGAATTCAGGGAGTTGAAGTCCACACATCTTAAAACTAATAAGGTTGACAAACACTGTTCTTGATTTAACCTGAAACATATCCCTGTGCTGAGATCTTCTCATACCCATCCCTCTGTCAGGTGCAAAAAATCAGGACCATATATTAAGTTCCAGTTAAGATATATTGCACATGCCTATGTACAAGAATCTACTCAATTGATGGTCAGTGCTAAATTGGTGCTAGTTATGAGTCAACAGAATTCAAGGAGGGGGTTGGATTTGGAATGTTTATAGACATAATGATTCTAGGCTGAGACCTCTCTTGACTCCACCTCAGGTTCTGCCTTTTCTTCTCCTATACCCTCTAATTCATCGGACAAAGCTGTACAGGGAATGAGTTTAATTTTCTTTCGGGGGGAAAGTACTGTATTGTACTGTACTATAGATAAATGTTGCTGCTTTGGGGTGGCAGGATCAGCAGCTGATGAAGCCTGAATGTTAGGACTGGTGGCTAAGGAGATAAAGCCTACTACTGAGACAGGGAGATCATGATTAGTACAAGTTTAAATAATGCAATATTATTTTAGTGCACATTGTAAATCGATGCCAGGTTGTGTTTGATGTGACCTAGACTCTACATCCTTCAGTACCTGGGAAGGCCCTATTCGCTCGGTTGGACAATCTTCCTTGGTGGCACAAAGAGCTGACAAATGGTTGCTGAGGTCATACATCCAGATGCTTCCTTTCTCATCACCACAGAACACATATTCTTCTGCTGCAAAAGTGAAACAAGTATCACCAAATTGTTCAAATGCTTCTAGGCCAGGCTTGAATTCCTTATCTGAAACTCATATTGGTGGGAGTTCCTTCTCAGTTCACTTACCAGCATCTACCCCACCTACCAACTATATCCTTCCTCCACTTCTCCCCCAATGCTTGTCTGATGTCCTGGCAAGTTGGGGATTAAAACCAGGGAACTAACAAAATCTACTTCCCAAAGGTAAGCCTATATTAATCTGGAACTGCAGCATTTCATAAAATACAACACACTGATTACCATCTGTTACTACTTAACAGCATTCCCAAATTGCCAGCCCGACTGTTCAAGCTTATCTGAAGGGACAACAGAAGCAATAGCAGTTATAATAGACTAAAATGGTGGCAGAGGACATGTTTGTGCCAGAGACTTGAATGGAACTGTATCCATGGCTATTCAGACGTGATACCAGCACTTACTTGGGCATGTGCTGAGGGTGAGGTAAGGAAGATCTGTTGAAGACCATTCCAGTTCAGCCAGAATGACAGCCTGCACTGTCCTCCGCCCACCTTTGCCTTGTTTGAAAGAGCGACTCCAGCTCCAGAGGTTTATAGATGCTCTCTTTGAACTCTTGGTAACTGAAGTGGAAAAAGAAAAACTAGTACCCTTGCTAAACAATGGGTCTGTTGCTAGATCAGCATTACTTCCTATTGTTTAAGGCAATTACCATTAAGGCAATTATCACGGCAGGCTCAGTGAAATGTGTGGTATCAATGGCGTCACAACATTTATTTTCTGGCAATTATGATGTGAACTTAGAATAAAGCCCCTAATAATACAGCTGTACCCATAAGCTCATAACTTACAACACATCCTGTAAAATGCCTCTGACATCAATTAATTTAATTCAGTGGATTTGGTCCAATGTGCATATAGCAGTGTTTTCCAACTTTGGGAATTTCCAGGAGTGTGGACGACATCAACTCCCAGAATTCCATGACTACTGATGACAATTCTAGGAGTTGAAGTCTACACTCCTAGAAGTTCCCAAGGTTGGGGAACACTGGTGTATAGCATAAAATAATAGGTTCCTGTTAGATATAATTTATTATTCTAAATTAAAACATACCAAGATAGAAGGGTTCTAATGGATAGTAAGGACTTTAGAATTTTCTATGTTTGGACTAAGCATGAAACGCCCTGGAAAAAAACCCATGCATGCCTTGTTTAGACAAAGCCTTCTTATTCTCTCTATAAAAACAGACCTAAAACTGTAACATTTCCCTTCTCTATTGTTTTTCTTTGTAAATATAGATGTGGGAGTCAGCATTCTGACTTTACACTCAAGGTCAACAGCTCAGATAGAATACTAATCTCTTAGTTTTTCCATTTCATCCTCTTCCAACCTGTTTTCTAAATGTGCATGTTAAGCCAAAAGATATTTTGAAAATATGTGTTACTGTTTTGCCTGGGACCAGCTCTTTGTATAAATTAATCATGAAAAAAAAAGAAAGGATGCTCTAATAAATTTCCCTTATTTACTTAGACATATCATAATACTTATTTCTTACCCACAATGTCTTCATTCAGAAAGGCTAGGCCATCCACCCGGTGAGAAGACGTGTCATTCCCTTCATCATCTGGAAACTGAAATTCAACTTCAAAAGCTCTAAAATGTTAGAGAATGAAATAAAGAACCAATTTATTGAGCAATTATTGTAATTTTAATCTATAGTAATCAAATACTCTAATATTAAAGATATTGGTTTTAATCCTTTATAACAGGTGGACATCTTCAAAATAGTCTGTAGTTGTTTGCACTGTAAATCTTGACAGAACTGGGACCACAGTTCAGTGGTTGAACACTCGATCAATCCATGAATCTCTAACTAGATGAACCATTAATTTAAATGAAGAAAAAGACTTGAAGAACCACTGATAGAAAAACAGTAGAAAACTGGAAACATTCATATGACATTAGCATTTCTGAACAATCGTTTTTGCATGTAAGGAGAATTTAGAAATCATTAAATTTGGCATAACTATCTACAAGTCAGAATTATATTGTAATTGGTTTTCCATTCAGACCCCAAGCCACAGACGGGTTGCAGAAGTAACAAAATAATGAAGTGTTTAGAGTTCTCTGAAAAAAAATGTTACTAATTTTTTCCAACTCCAATTTTAAAATCCAATTTCAGTTTTAAGTTCCCTTTTTTATTTTTGCCTTTAAAAAAAATATTTTGCTCAGCTAAAACATCCTGTAAAGGGCAATTTGATATCAAAGAGATCCTTTATCAAAAAAAAAATGCCAATTGTTTACATAGAATGGGCAAAAAGGAGGTATACTTTTCTTTTGATGAATTACCTAAATTACAACCCCTAAACACTGGAATGCTCCATAGCGAACAATGGGTCCACTTTATGGCTGCCACGTTTGCTTAACAACTGTCACAGAAAAGGTCATGAGATCAGGTTTGGTCATGTGATAACAAGCTTTATGACTGTCAATTTATTACTACAATTGTCAGGTTTGATTACAGTTGTAATTCATGGACTATTTGTAATTTATCTTTCCAATACGAGGCATGAGCTGATTACATGCGATAAAATTGGTATCAACTTTTAGCAGCCCACAGAATAAATTTTTCCCAGGAAGACACCATCTACTCACCTGTTTTTCTGTGGCTTATCATCAAGTCTAATATCCCAGGCAAAGCAGCCTTGTTCGCAACCAGCCACCAAGAACCGATCTGGGCAAGAGGGCACTAGGGCAATACGTAAAGGTGTGGAAATGGTCTCCAGTACCATCAGCTGCCTGACAAATGAAATACATTTCAGTTCTTCTATTAATACAAACATCCCTTTGCAGATGTGAAAGTTGGAATCCTGTATCATTTACCTTTCTTTGAAATTATAATCACAGTCTGGAATCCCAATATCCCATGCACATATTTTTTTGTCATAGGACGCAGCTGTTGGGAAATAGAGAAGAGACAAGAAGAAGAGATGTAATGAAATAAAAATATAGGCTTCCAAATAACAAATTAGAAAAACTTGTCTTCGTAACAAATTAGGCAAATAAGACCCATCTCCTTCAAACTCAGAACACCAAAATATTGCAGCTAGTTCCAAAGATAACATGAGATTTAGCTTGTTATCTTTGTACTCACAAACAAGACCAAACAAGGCAGCCTGCTCTTTCCTTGACTCAGAACAGATGGAATTGGAGAGGATAAAAGGGTCTTACTGAAAAGGTGCGTTTCACAGGTTGGACTAAAGCAAGCAGTAGCAATGGGTTTCTTGTGAGCCTTGATTTCTCCATAACAATAATCAGCAGTCACATGAATTAGCTTTACGATTCCTCTTCTCCCGGCAGCCGCCAAAACATTGTGTTTTTTCTTTCTCCCATCACTTGTTACCATTGTCAGAGTTGTCCATGTGACAGTGTAAAACTCCTGGTGAAAAAGGCAAGGTATCGGGTGAACAAAAAGCCATGCATGACTAGAAGTTTGGGTGGACTTGGATAAACACAATCAAGGGCACCAAACAATTCTTTTAATTATAGTTTGTGAAAAATTGCCTTTACAATGATTAAAGAAAATAAAAAGAAAAAATAGAACTGCTGGAAAAATAAAAATAAAAAAGAAAGCAAATTAAGAATGTATTAAAGGAAAAGAAATATATAAATAAATGATTTCTCCCTTCATAACACATATAAACTATTTTAGTACATTATATTCTCTTAAAATACTGTGCAATAATTTCTTTTTCCCACATTTATCTCTTTATAACCATTTCAGTCCTGGTATAATGTTGATCTTTAATCCCCTTAAATAATGTCCTAGAACTTGATTTCTTTTTCTTTTTACTTTGTCCCATCCCACAAAATTCTTCAAAGCTTTAACTAGCCTCTTTTGCAAATCCAATATAGGAAAATTATCCAGACTTGTATATCCAGGTATCTCTTGGTTTGTTATATGTATATTCCTTTTAATTATAAAGATATCAGGTGTATGTGCACTGCAGCATCTTTTTCCATTTCATTCTTGTAGAAATCCACTTTCAACTTGGCCTCAGTCTTGTCATGGAGAACTTGCTTCTTCAACAATGTCTTTCTAACATGATCTAAAGGCAGACACTTGAGTCCATTGTTCAAAAATATCCTTTAATATGTCCAATGTTAAAATATTTTAATTAGTTCTATAACTGTATCTTTATTCCATTTATAACTTTCCAAAAGTAAAGTTCTAACCACCCTTTTGCTATTTATTAAAAAAAAATTTTTAAAAAAATCCTTAAACGCCTTTCACTAAGGATTGAAGGAAACTTATCTAATGTTTTCAGACGTGTCTATGCAAAAAAAGGTTCCTAACAGTTAAAGCAGTTAACATGAAATTTCTGAAAATGATTAGAAAATGAAATACGTGAATTTAGTAACCTTTCAAAGCCATCAACCATTATTTGAGCAAGATTTTATTTATTAATTTATGAGACTTATATACCGCTTTAAGTGCAAGCACTCTCTAAGCGGTGTATACCAGTAAGCAATGTATATATATATATTTACATATATATGGTTATTCCCTCATCACCCAGAGCTCTAAACTCTCCAAAGACTGCTATTTTGCAGTCTTTTCCCAGGGAGCAACTATCTGGAGCGCTTGTGGCCGATTACAAGTCCTCTCCTTATCCAGAGAGGAATTATGAAGAGCCAGTCTACTTGCCAATTCTTTATTCTGCCATTGTCCACCTTTAGTGGAGCTATCTTCAGTTTGCTACTTTTCCCCCTGTAAGTCCAAACATTCTAACTTATATACAAACCTGTTAAAAACTGCACTGAATTTGTAAGGGGAAGGCATCACAGTTTACTTGCACTCGCTTTTTAAAGTTGCTCCTGGATCATCTTTCAGCCCTGAGCTTCTCCAGGAGGGAATATCAAAACAAGTGAAAACATCATAGTGCAAATATGTGACATATATTTGTGCCAAAAGTTGGGACAAAAGTCGTATGTTTATGATGACATACGTGCATTGTTTTTTGGTAATCATTCATTCATTCATTCATTCACTCATTCACTCATTTGCAAATATTATGCTGCTACTGATAGTTACTCCAAGTCCTACTAAATCTGCCATTTGAATGTGGCACTAGATGCAGAAACTAAGCAGAGGTGTAAAAAAAATTTTTCTCTTTCAGTTCATGCGTCTTTTCTTGTTTTAACTGCTATCTTTTGTATAAATCTGTCACTGTTCAAAATCATATTTTGTGGGATTGGCAGATATTTAAATATAATAAAATAAAATAAATTTTAAAAATGAGATTTATGAGATTTGATAGGCTTCAACCATGTTAGCCATCAGGAAATCTTGAAGGACTGTTCTTGCTGGCACTGGGTGTAAAATAAGTTTGTACTACAAAGTATAGTACATGCTAATGTGCCTGATTCTATGTCTTGCTGATTTCTGATTGTTTTGTTATTAGGAATATTTAAATTGTTTATTGCTACAGGACATCTGAAATTACAGGTTGAGTTGGATAGCCTTAAAAATCTTTTTAAAGAGATAAAAAGGCCACTTTTATTTTCACTGTATTGATTTTAGTGCATGTTCATTTCATACCGAGCATATCTAACAACAACAAAAACCTATTAGGCTTCATTCTCGTAGAAGAAATGAGCTCTTTCCTGTCAACCATCCTTGTGATCTGAGAGTAAGGCTTGAGAAGAAAATCCACCACTAAACTTCCAGTTCTACCTCAAGAGCTACACTTTTCTACCACAAGAAACCAGAATTGTTGAACACATCATTGAGATGCTTGGTTTCAATTCTAAAATTATGGTTAATATGAGCCACAATGTGCTGCAATGTTAATTATTCATTCACCTAAAACTAAACATCTAAAAAGGTAAGCACATTATGAGATGGCAGTGTATATTACATTTTAATAAAATTAATGTAAGATTTAATGATAAACAAGAAAATACGTATTTTCTCATGATTTTAAGGAGTTTAGAAGAGTGAGCATTAATAACCCTGAAAGCAAATTAAATTTTCTGATTATAATTTAGCACAATCCTGCCACTCTTATGATGACTTCCCCTGACAAATTTCAATTTAACGGAAAGATTTATAGTTATAGTTATAAGTATTTTGAAGAACAGACTTCAACACAGCACCAGTGTTGCCCCATGGGGTGCAATAGGAGACATCACAGCACTAATGTCAATGTCCCACTAAATAAAACCAGAAAGTCAAGAGCAATTGCATTTCCTTTACCTCCCCTGTCACTTTGTACTTTTTCAAAACAATGCCTGTTTCACAGTCAACCAAACAAACAGAATCTCCGCCACAGGTAGCTGCTGTCCTAGAGGAGCTCACCACAGGGTCTGAAAGATAAAAGCACAATGACTGTAATCCTGCAGACATCATAAGACTCCTGTTTTCATTTGACTAGACATTCAATTGCTATAGAAGTGGAACACGTATTTAAATACTGTACTTACAACGTACCGTACTTACAATACTGTATCTATTATCTATATAATACTTTTTGTAAGTGTGAATCAAGGATTACTACACTCAAGTTAGTAGACCACAGTTTCTTCTTCATATAGATAGACTTTGCTTAATGACTGCCCTGTTTAGTGACTGTGTGAAGGTATGACAGCACTAAAAAAAAGTAACTTTATAACCATTCTTCACATTTACAACCCACACAGCATCTCCATGGTCACATGATTCAAGTGCTTTGTAACAAGTATGTATTTATGACTGTCATGGTGTGCCATGTTCAAATAGTTGCCCTTTACATACTTCACAAGCTTTTGACAAGCACAGTCAATAGAGACGCTCACAGTGAAATCACAAGTCACAGTCAGATGATAACTCATTTAATGACTGTTGTTTAGCAATGGAGTTGCCAATCCCAATTGTGGTCATTAAGTGAGACTACCTGTACTGCAAGAATAAATTTCCCCAGGTATATAACAGTAGGATAAGGTCTTTTGCAAAAAGACTTTAAGTCCTCATTCTCTCCTGTCTCTGCATTTTAAATTAGGAATGGGCACACTATGATCACCACATGTTAAAATTGGAACTTCTTTACTACTGGTATACCTTGAATTATTTGTAATATAAATAAGCAACTTGCTGGAGAAAGCAAACACATAAAAAATATGGAACAACGTGCATAAAAATTCAGAAACACAAGAAGAATGTGAATTCCTGGAGAACACTGTCATCAGATGTATTGACTGGCATTTTTCTTCTAGGACAGCACAGGCCACTTGAGTATGCTCACCTTTTCTCGTCCCACAATCTAGTGGTGGTTCAAAAACACAGGCCCATAACTGAGTCTTGAAGTCATCCCTGTTATTGGCCTTACTGTGACACTGTAGAAAATGGACCGGATCCAGGGTGATTGTCTCCTGTGAGAAGGCAGAAAGCTTTGAACCCAAAATGTCCCATTGTACAAGGAACAGAACAAAGGTTTTTGGATGGAGTTAAAATCTACAGTCAGGCTTTAAAATCAAGCTCTTTAAAGTGTCCCTTTGCCAAATCATTATATAAGTATTCAACTGACTCTCAGAGTTTATATACTGTATATATCTTTGACAGCGGAAGGAAATGTATTACCTCACATTCCAAGTCCTTCACCGGGGTGCTGCAAGCATCCTCCTCTTCCTCTTTGTGCTCTTTTTTCTGCTGAGTGACTTTTTTGTGGCTTTGTCCTTTTGGAAGCCGCCCTCCATTCCGATGGGCTCCATCAGAATCCGGAGGGGTCTGGGATTCCTTGGCCTGTGGGCGTGAGGCTCTTGTGGCCTCAGTACTGCGCTCATCCTGCAAGCGGCTAAGCTTCTTGGGGCTGGGTGATGCTTCTTCCTTGGAGCTGCTTTGGGAATGGGATCTCTTGCTCTTTGCCCTTCCTTTGGAACGAGCCCCTTTCCTTTTGCTGGGAGTTACTTGGCCCTATTAAAAACAAAGATCAGCAACGTTCAACATAATGTTGTCCAAGTAATCTCAATTGTGCAAGGTTATGCAACAGAAATTTGCCTGGATTTCTGCTTAGATCTACAATGTCCCCAATAAGATGAACATTATTCTCACGTCTGAGAGAGCACCATCCACTGATAACTTTCCTACAGAAATTAATGGAAAATACTCCATTCATAATCCACTAGCCTGTTGCAGTATGAGGCTAGCCTCAAAAAGTATCCAGGAGTTTCAGATGATATAGAATGAGGCTGCACAGGCAATCTTAGGCACTGGAGAACAGTGCCTGGTTCTGCACAAGCTGGACTGGGTGCCAGGTTTACTTCAGGGTCCAGTTCAAGGTTATGACCTTTAAAGCCCTATGAGGCATGGGCCAGGTTGTCTTTAGAACCATCTTTGTTCCATTATATCTACCTGTCCCATCCAGTGAGGCAGGGAGGGTATGTTGTAGACTTGTCAGTTAAAAAAATCCAACTGGGGGATCCAGGAAGAGAGCCTTCTCTGCCATTATCCCCGGTCTGTAGAACATCCTCCCCCTGGAGGTGAGGGGGCTCCATTCTCCTTGCCTTCCAGAAAGGAGTAAAAACATGGCTCTGCGGCTTTATTTAGGGCTTGCATAGGAGCCCACAATTGTGAGGTTGGCTAGTACTCAAAAAATCCTTCCCCCTGCCTTTTAATTAACTTTCACAGATTCTTAAGTCATTCTTGCCTTTTTAAATTTTAAATTTTATTTATTGTCTTTATGATTTGATATTTTATCTGTACTTGCCCAGAGTCTCTCTGTGAGGGAGATGGGTGGTTTTAAAATTTGATAAATAAATAATAAAATTCTATGGATCCAAACTGAGTCGGTCACCAGGACCAGAGGTTTTGTCCTCTGAGCTTTTGGACTCATGCTGGAGCCCCCATCCTGGGGGAGCCTCTCTCTAGCCATTCCATTTTGGTATAAGATTCCATTTTGGTGATTGCAAAACTATTTCTCTTACAAAGCACTGAACAAAGAGTGCTACGCCTTTTTCCCAGAATGAATCCTCTATGCTAAAGTATATACAAAGTCCTTTCCTGGCATAAGACATACAGATTAGCTTCACTTACTGCATTAAGCCATGTTTTCTAACAGAGTGGTTCAGCATAATGTGTGAAGCAATACTTCCCAACAGTTTTCTCTGTGTTTGATAGGGATTGCTTTCTGAATGATGGAAATATTATTAAAAGAGGGCATTAAAAGAGGGGATATTTTATTGTACTGGTTGCATTGGGCAAAAATGGTTTAAATGGTTCATGGACAGAAAATCTCCCAAATTCTGTATCAATTCCATTTGAGGCAACATATTCTCATCTAGAACTAATAATGGAAGACTTCTGAATTTGACTGAGGTGGACCATCAAAGAAATCTCTTGAGTTCTAACCTTAGCAGTAACTTTACTGTCAGCATCCGTGGTACTTTTTTTAATTTCTTCTTTCTCTTCTTCTCCCTCCTCTTCTTTCTCCTCTTCCTCCTCCTCCTCCTCCTCCTCCTCCGGCTCCTCCATTGATTCCGCTGCTTCTGTAGCAGGCTTATGTTCCTCATTAATCAAGGAAGTCAGGAATTCCTCAGCAATCATTTTCACCTACAATAAAAGAATACAGACTTGCCAAATTGTTATCATAGGAAAGGAATTTAGAATTATGCCTCTCAACCTCAACAACTTTAAGACATGTAGACTTCAATTCCAGAATTCCCTACAGTTAAAGTGTATACATCTTAAAGTTGTATCACTGTTCAGAAAACGCTGCTAATCATCCAAGCTGGTTCAATCAAGCTGAGAATTACACATTCAGTACCCTAATTTTTTTTTCCAAATGTCACCTGCTGACCAAAATTCTACATTACAATCCACATGACAAGACTGCAAACAATTCATAGTCTGAACTTACCCTCCAACGTGTGTAATCGCTGAGTGAGCTGGGACCATATGCTACATGAGCTTGTGCAGACTTGATGAACTTTTTTCTAATTGGCTTCAGTTGTTCAGGAGACAGTGTTTTAGACATCTGGTTCCGAAAATTTTTCCCCCAATGAGCAGAGACCTAGAAAAAAGGGAAAACTATAATGAAGCAGCCTGGGAAGCCATACATGGGTCCTATACCAGGGGTAGGCAACCTTGGCTCTTTTATGACTTGTGGACGTCAACTCCTAGAATTCCTGAGCCAGCCGTGCTGAGGGGAAAGGGAGAGGTTTCCAAGTTGAGCCATGCTGGCTCAGGAATTCTGGGAGTTGAAGTCCAAGAGTCATAAAAGAGCCAAGGTTGCCTACCCCTGTCCTTTACAAAACTTTCCATGATATAATATTAGAGATTTTTAGCTAACACTCTGTTCAAATTGTCCAGCAGATGAGGTAACAAGGAAGAAATAGACAGGAGCATCCATAGGGAATTAAAAAAAAATTAAGACAGCAAGTACAGCCATATGATCAAGATTCCCTTTTTTTCTAAATGTGCATTGTGGATGTTCCATATCTTAAAATGCAATGGGCTTTCAATCATACAGTTGTAGGCACCATTTTGACTTTATTGACCTCATCCATAGATACCCCAGAAAATAGGACTTTTTCTAGCTCCATATTAATCTGATGCAGAGGTCCCCAACCCTCAGTTCGTGGACCAGTACTGGACTGCGGCATGCCAGCAACCAGGCCGCACAAACAAGCAAAGCCCCATCCGCAGGATGCAGGCAGCACACAAAACCACACCCCTCGGGTCCACGGAAAAATCTCTCTCCACGGAACCAGTCCCAGGTACCCAAAAGGTTGGGGACCACTGATTTAATGTTTGCCTTCCTATCTTTTAACCGGTAGTTCTTTTTAAAAAAAATATTCCTCTATTGAATTTCAGAATTGATAAAATAAAGAATAGAAAAAGTTACAAAAAAAGAAAAGCATGAAAAAGAGTTAAAAATTTAACAAGAAAAGAAAAAAGATAGAAAAAAGTAATAAAACTTTTACTATAAAATAGAAAAAGCTAAACTTCCAATTTCTTCAGTACAGATATAAATAAATAATAATGTCTTGCTCTAAGTTTAAACAAAAATAAAAGCATAACATGTAAAGCATACATAACAAACAAAAGCAATAACAATGCACGTTTCTATAAAAAAAGATTTAGTCATCAAATCCCAAAATCAGGGTATTATTTCTATTCTTTTCGAGCAAGAAGTCCCAAAGTGGTTTCCAAATGGAAATAAAGCTAGACAATTTTTTGTTTTTCATCAAAATGGTCAATTTTGCCATCTCAGCCAGTTCTATTGCTTTTGTGTGGCAAAGTTTCTATAACATTTTCCCAAACATTGTTATTGTATTTTGATTATAAAAGCAATTGATATCCTAAGAATAAAACTATTCAAATAAATAATAATAATATAGACCCACTAATTAAATCAGTCACTAAATCAATCAATCACAATTAACTGTTTATAAAGTCCATTAATTCATTTCGTATTTCTTTGGCAGCTTCTTATTTCAATGTTGAAACATTGCATTTTAGATCTGTTCATGAAAAAATTAGAATATTTTTCCAAATAAATAAATTCACATACAAGAGAGGGAGGAATACGCTCAAAGGCACTTGTGGAAGGCAGCTAGATGAAACAGCAACTAGAACAGGCAGTTTTGTGCAAGCTCTTCTTCCTTCTTGTCACAAATTTTGGTTCTGGATTTATCAGTGATGTCAGATGATGAAAACGACACAAACACTTTTCATAGATTTGAACTTGTTCTCATCTTATCAGAGTAAGATTTAAGGTAGTCTGCTTTAATAAAATCACATCCACCAGCCAACATTTTCTTAATAGCCATGAGAACAAGAGAATTAAGCTGCATTTCTAGTTCTTACTAACATTCATTCAGTTTTACTCTACTGGTTAAAATTTATACCTAAATGGATATGCAAAAGAATTATGCTGTTAGTTGCATAAACAGACCAAATAAAAATGAGACACCAAAAGTAGTCAACCTGTTTCTTATCCTTCCAGCATGCTTCCAGCTTTTTATAGGCATGGAAAGAAAATGGAAATTGCTCATTTGTTTTATACATATTTCTGATCAGCGATGTTCTAATATGCATAAGAAAGTCAAAGCTATAGTTCGATTTTGCAAAATTGATGAGCAAAATATTTATCTAAATCTAAACTATTATACCACTTTTTCAACTAAATAGCTTCAAGGCTTTATAAAAAAAGAATTCACTTTCATTTCACTAATTTCCTCTAGCATCTTTTAAAATGCTGTACAATTTTTGATAATTAAGAAATTATTATTATTTCGGCACTTACTCTATTAGTCAGCTCTCGGCTGTTGACGACTCTCACATGATTGGCCAGCTTGGTGATGTCTTTGCCATTCAACTGACGGAGATTTTGCAAAAGAAATATTACCTTGTAATCGTCACTGGGCTAGAGAGAAAAAGAGTAGCCTTGTCTTTAAAAAAATTATTGAAAATGAAATCTTCATGTGGGAACTCCTACAGTCCAACTCAGCCCAACACTGCCATCTATTGCTGTCTGGAGCATCTTAGATTCAGCATCCTGAATTTACAATCATTCAATTAATCTTGATTAATTATTTAGTGAAGAAATTTCAGGATTGTTAAGAAGGTAAGGTCAATCTAAAAGGAGATGGTTTTAAAAAAACTCTCCTCCATCCAGATTTCTGTTTCAATGATATTTTTTTTCTACAGAATTCAAAAAGCCTCCTGAATAGCGAGATTGGCAGCAAATAAATTTGATAAATAAAAATGAAAAATAAAAAATGGACCAAAATCTGTCAGAATTTGTTTATATCAAACGTTTATATATATTATCTATTTAAATGTATACTCATTTAATGTATACTCATTTGATGAGTATAAAGGCTCTCAGGTTAGCTAGTGGCAAATATTGCAAAACTTTCTCTGAAAGATTTTCCGTCTTTTTAAAGAACACAATATAGCAGGGGTATCAAACTGCCGGCCCGCGGGCCAGACGCATCATCCAGAAGCCGCGCCCACCCCATTGCCGGCAATGACAAAACCATCCCGAAATGTTGCGCGACGTCACATGACGTCGCAAGTTTGACATGTCTGCAACATAGCAACTGTTCTTATAAAATGGTGAAAGTATGTAGTTGTTTACACTGTTTTAACTTCATTTACATGCTGAAATCAGTAAATAATATTTCCCAAAAATAAGTTAATGGATTTTGAGAAGGCTGGAAATGGACATTTCAACCCTTCTCTTCTTTTACTTCTTCCAAAGGAAATGGGGAAGCATGTGGGAGGTCTACTTTTCACCTTAACTTAGATATATATTTAGAAGCAAAGCATCTGAGCAAATGCAATTAAAAGTCAGTTAGGACTGAGTTAAGCTTGCATTTAAAGATCTGTATTTTCAGGCAATGCATATACTTTATATGTTTGAAATCAAATATACTAGATCCCAATTCTTGCTTTCTTTACATTTTGAGCTACAATTCAGTAATGGGATGGCAAGACTGTTATGAATAGATGATGAGTAACTGCAGCATCAAATTATCTTAAATGAACCATAATGTTCACTGAGGATATATGACAAGACTAGAGAATGTTCATCAGCCCCAAAATGAGCAGAATTTACTTTACTCTGGGACATGAAGGTATTACAATTTTTGCTCTTAATGCAACACTTTGGCTGTATGAGGGTAGCAGTGCTCCAAGAAGTAGTTGCAAGGCCTAGAACCTCTATTGGCTGCCAGATATACTCACTGTCAGGTATACATTGTTGGTATAGGTGAGCTCCTCCAGCTGTGGAAACTGCTGCAAGGTTGTCACATCTTCCAAGTGATTGTTGTTACAATTTAGGATGCGGAGGTTTGGCAAACTGAGATTGTCAGGAAGCCGTTCTAAGAGATTGTCAGAGAGATCAAGTTCCTGGAGATGGCGGAGATGAGAGAATAACTGTGGCTCCAAATCTTCTGTAGTTATTTGCAACTTGGACAGGCTGGAGGGGGAAAAGATTCCATGTATTACTGAGGTCCATCCCATCCACATTATGGAACATTCTATGATTTATGTTAAAAATCCAAAGAACGGAAATATCAGGCTCTCTGACATAAAGAACATAAACATTTAAGCTTCATTTAATGACCTTAATTGGGACCAACAGCATTTTCACAGTGATCATTAAGCTAGAACTACATAGGTTGTTAAGCAAGGACTTTACATAACTGCATTTCACAACTTCCTGCCAGCTTCCCCATTGACTTTGCTTGTGAGAAGCTGGCAGGGAAGGTCGCAAATAGTGATCATGTAAACCACAGGATGCTGCAACATTTGGAAATGCAGGCCAGTCACCAAGTGCTCAAATCCTGTGACCACGGGGACACTGTGATGGTAGTATGTATAAGCATTGTCATAACTTTAAAAGTTCATTGAATGAGTGGTCATTAAGCAAGGACTATTTGTACTGACTCGCACAGACTATTAAATTACTTATCAATTAATTTACAACTAAACATAGTACTATCCTTAATTTAATTTAATTAAAATGTTTAAAATCCAATGTTACTTAATAATTCACTGTTTACATAATTATTACCTATATTTTATAATTTGAAGAATTTCCAATTGTTGATGGTGGTGGTGGTGGTGGTGATGATGATGATGATGATATTATTATTATTGAAGAAGAGTTGGAAGGGACCTTAGAGGTCTTCCAGTCCAACCCCCTGCTCAGGCAAGAAACCCTATACCAGAGGTGTCAAACTCGCCACGTCACAGACGTGTCGTATCACAACTTTTTTTGCAGTGCCGGAGCTGGGGTGGGCACGGCCTCCTTATGATGCAAATGGTTTAACACCCCTGCCCTATATCATTTCAGACGAATGACTATCCAATCTCTTCTTAAAAACTTCCAGTGTTGAAGCATTCACAACTTCTGAAGGCAGGTTGTTCCACTGATTAATTGTTCTCACTGTCAGGAAATTTCTCCTAGGTTGCTTCTCTCCTTGATTAGTTTCCATTCATTGCTTCTTGTCCTGCCTTCAGAGTAATTTTCAGAGTAATTTCAGGAATAGGAGCAGGATCAAAATTGTTCTTAAAAATACTCTTTAAAAAAAACTAATTATTCTGGGAAAAGACGGAGGAATGGATGGTTAGATTCAGCAAAGCTGTTGTTGAATAAAACTCTATTACAGAGTAATAGTATCAGCTTCAAATTGAAAGTTGTCATGATTGCTGTTGGTACTGCTATTTATTTATTTAAATAATTTATATGGCAGCCAATCTCAGAACAATGATTCTGGGTGGCATACAAAGATCAAACAACAAACTTAAATCATAATATTATGTTCAATATTGTACTGTGATTTAGGCTAATTCTATGCACTTTGTAACTGTAGTTTTTGGAAGAAAAAAAAAGAGGGCAAAATCACAACTGAATTTGCTGTGAAGATTGAGAAAAATGAGGGACTAGGTATGGATTTTCTTTTTCTTAGTCAGATTTGTGGAGTTCTGTGTACACATACATACATGCACTTACTTCAGCGTTTTGATCTTTCGTAGCCTTGTAGATTTGGGCACTGCTCTTTCCAACAGAAGTTCTGTAGTTATTTTGGACATAATTAATCTCTTCCAATATTCTGCAAATCCAAGAGTGTCTTTAATCTTCCAGAAATGTTGCTAGTAAAAAGAATAACAAGAGAATTGTTCAAATATCGTCCCAATGTTGCAGATCAAGAAAATTGCTCAGGTAGAGGTACAGTTGCAGTATAGGCATTCTTATCTCCTTATATTCTTTACTAATGTTGGACTGAAATGCAGGTTGGAGACAATCTAAGAAATGTGGCTTGTGTCTCTTTTGAAATGGAACACACTTAATCTTCTATATTTATTTATACATGCCAGTTTAAGATACCAACATCTGTCAAACAATTTATTTAATTTTGGGAAAATTTTAGAAAAATCATCCCATGTGAAACAAGGTGTCTACTCCAGCAATTGGTCTCCTACTAGCTATGTTTTCCTGAAATTCTGACCACCCTTCTACCTTAGAGGTATTGTGACAAGTTACTTTATTCTGATTATTCCTGTCTTTCTTAAGATGATTTATGCCAGTTTATTTTTTATGTTTTTCAACTTCAGATCTCTCAATTAGATGGCTCATTTTTTAAAAAAAATATTTAACCATTTGTTCTAGGTCATTTGGTGATCATAGTATGCTTGGTACTGGTACTAAACTGAGAATCTTTCTGAACCGCTTTAGGGTTTGTACCTGTAAATGGAGGTTTCTCCCCTCTCCCTCCTGGGATTGCTTTTGAGCATTTATAAGGGCTGAGCATTTCATTCACATTCCTCCCGCTCTTAAAAATATGAATTTACATTCAGCTAGATAAGCTCTAAATTAAGGCATTTCAGTACTCTAGTTTTCTAGAATGTTAGCTTGTTGGATTCTAGTACTTGCTGACTGCATAGTAAACCATTCTGCATAGTAAATCGTTCTCCAGTGAATTAACTCTGTTATTATGGGCTTCTATCTAGGCTATCATCAGCTGGAGTCTTGGGTATATTATGCCAGGCATAAAAAAAACATGATGAATTTATCAAAGGTTCTGTACCAGCAATTCAACCAACTCAGAGGCTAAATTATGTCCAGGCACCTCTGGCTCTGTTTATACTCAGATCTGGTAAAAACCATCATACAGCTGTTGTTTACTGTCCCTCTTCTACATGAAATAGGGAAGGGTAATCATTCACTTATTAAGATTTTTTCAGCATTACTTATTGTCAATATTAAGCCTTGTTCATGAATTCTTTCAGTCATTCAGAATTCATTCAGTCTCACTTTGTTAGGCTATAAACATCTGCATACATTAACAAAGCAGTAGCCAAAAGGAAAAAAATATATTCCAAGGAGAATATCCCAGAGAAAGATAAACAGACCTTCACTTCAGGAGCAGAAAATCTTATCCAATCTTGGAAAAATAGACTGAAATTAAATGCCTATTACTTCCCTTTCAGCATTACTCCCAATTGTCATGGAGGTGTGGAAAAAGATAATTATTTCTTCCTTGCCCCATTAATTTTAAACCATAACCACACTTAGTGCTGCAGTGTGCTTGTTGGCAAAGCAAAAGTTCAACCAACCAATTTGCTTAATGGTCAGGGAAGGATTTTTAAAAAATGGAATAAACATTATCAAACTTTCTGTCCCTTTTAACAGATATTGTTGCTGGGGTGGATAAAGGGGAATCATTTTAACATTGCAGAGACTTAAAGGGTAAGCTTGTGGGGGGGGGTTGAAGACCTAAAAAGGGATGCTGGCTAACAGGTGGATTTCCTCACTTAATGTTATCTAATAATTTTGATCCTGCTCCTATTCCTGAAATTACTCTGTAAATTACTCTGAAGGCAGGACAAGAAGCAATGAATAGAAACTAATCAAGGAGAGAAGCAACCTAGAACTAAGGTGAAATTTCCTGACAGTGAGAACAATTAACCAGTGGAACAACCTGCCTTCAGAAGTTGTGAATGCTCCAACACTGGAAGTTTTTAAGAAGAGACAGGACAGCCGTTTCTCTGTCTGAAATGGTATAGGGCAGGGGTGTTAAACCGGTTGCATCATATGGAGGCCGCACCCACCCCAGCTCCGGAACTGCAAAAAAAGTTGTGATGTGTCACGTGATGCGGCGAGTTTAACACCTGTGGTACAGGCTTTCCTGTCGGAGCAGGGAATTGGACTGGAAGACCTTTACAGTCCCTTCCAATTCTTCTTCTTTAATAATAATAATACTAATAATGTTGGAAGGGACCTTGAAGGTCATCTAGTCCAACCCCTTGCTCAGGCAGGAAACCCTATACCATTTCAGACAAACGGCTGTCTAGTCTCTTCTTCGAAATTTCCAGTGTTGGAGCATTCACCATTTCTGGAAGCAGGTTGTTCCACTGGTTAATTGTTCTAACTGTCAGGAAGTTTCTCCTTAGTTCTAGGTTCATTCTCTCCTTGATTAGTTTCCATCCGTTGCTTCTTGTCCTGCCTTCAGGTGCTTTGGAGAATAGCTTGACTCCCTCTTCTTTGTGGCAGCCCCTGAGATATTGGAATACTGCTATCATGTCCCCCCTCGTCCTTCTCTTCATTAAACTAGACGTACCCAATTCCAGCAGCTGTTCCTTATATGCTTTAGCCTCCAGTCATTTGATGTTACTTCGATAGGCAATTGGCATTTTATGAAATTGAGCAACACTTTGATTTTTATTTTAACTGAAAACAGGAAGTATTAAAATACTGAAAAAATATTGTTTTTATGTTTTTACTTATTTATTTTAAATGAGCTGTATCTTCCCCATTTTAGACAGGTTGCACAGCCAGAAAGAACAGAACTCCCAGTTATTCAATTCACAAACTAATATGTCTGATAAATAAAAACATCAGAGTTCTTTATTACACACATAACTTATTTCCATGTTGAAAATGTGTGCCATACAAGCCATTTAGTTCATTTTCTTGCATAGTTAAGCAGGGATCCTCAGCATCAATAGAAATCTCCCTTGGCATGCACCAAACGATGTAATGCTCTTTAAAAAGCATTACTATTTTTATGGATTTATTTATCTAGGAGACAATGTAAATACTGCCTCCATGTCATTTATTTCCATGCATGCTTCCAATTCATTTTTTATAAATGTGACTGATTGCACTTCAGTATTTTGAAGCCTTCTGTAATCTATTTTCATGCTGCCTCATGTTATTTTAGATTTTGCAGGATGCTACTTTATCATAATAAGCTAAAGAGGAAACGATTACCTGACCACAAACGGTTAGTTGAAGAAATTATTGTATATGGAAAGATGAAGCTTGAAATAAGTTGTTGGAAGATGGAGAGAGACTGTGCCCATCGGTCATCACTTGTTGGGTGCCACAGGGTTTCATGCTGTCTCCCCTTCTGTTTACCATCTACATGAAACTTCTGGGTGAGGTTATCTGTCAGTATGGAGTCAGGCACCACCAATATGCTGATGATACCCAGTTGTATATCTCAACATTACACCAGAGAAACTGTCTGAAGTTATATTGATCAGATTAAACAAAATAAAGGTGACTCTGATTGATGGTTTAGAGCGCATGAAACCATTTTTGAAAAGCACTTTGTACTGACATGCGTTGAAAATACAGAGAAGCTGTGTCTGTTGTAGCAAAGTTCAGCAACATTTAAAGACCATCTATATTGGCTGGCAGCCCTGTATCTGAACTTTTGTTTGATATGTGGCCCATGAATCTGATAGTTATAATTTACTTACTGTATAGCTTATAAGTTTATGCCTCTTCATAAAACCTGTTAGTCTGAAAAGGTGCTACCAGACTCTTTGATATCTGACAGTTTCTATTTACCTTTACAGGTGGTCCTTGTTTAGAAACCACAACTGGGATGGCAACTCAATCATTAAGCAAAGTAGTGACTAAATGAAAATGCAACTATGCTTATGAACTTGCTTCAGCTTTCTTTTGATTTACAGATCTGCAAAGATTGTAAATATGGGGATTGGTTGTAAAGTTACTTCTTCACCACCATCATAATTATGAAAGGTTGCTAAACAAGGCAGTGGCAAATGAGGACTACTTACAAAGACTTTCAGTATATTTGTCACAAGATTATACTGAATCTCTTTTTCTCTCAAGTTCTTAAAGGAGATTGTAAGAATTTTACTTTCCCTAGCGGTTCAGTTCTTATTAAGTACATCTCCTTTCTTTTTTTTTCTTTTTATTGAAAATTTTTAAAATTTTACAAAAAAGTTCCCTTCCCCAAACCCTCCCAACCCACCCCAACCCTCCCCCAACCTTCCCAGAGCTGAATACAGGCTTAATTAAGATTTAAAAGAAAAAATTTTTAAATACAAATAAACCATATACAAATTTGGTTACAATAATTAAACAAATTATAAAATACTTTAACACCAACATTTGAAAAAACAGAAAGAGAAAAAGAAAAGAAACAAGAAGAAGAAAGAAAAAAGAAAAAAAGAAATTAGAAAAAGGAAAAAAAAATATCTAAAAAATATCTTAAACTTTATTAAGTACATCTCCTTTCTTAACCCTCACAGGAAGCATGCAAATAGGACTTTGTGTATCTTCTTCCTGCATTTAGCAAAATCTTCTAAATCTAAATCTACATTGCAATTTTGTTTAGAGAAAATAAAATATCTTGGCCATGAAATTTCTTCTGGCCAATATTGTATTTCTCCATCTTGCACTAAATGCAATTGCAAATTCTTCATCAATCACAACCTTGCAAGTCTGCTCTTTTCTTATATTTGTGGTTACTGTACATAATGGATTCCCACTTATGTCAACCTACCAAACTGCTCTATCATTTTAACTGTTCCTGAAATAACCTTCCTGTGGACTAAAGCAATTGAATCTTCAGTTGCTGTCCAGAAACAAGCTTTATTAGCAGGCTCAACCATGGGAAATTTAATTCTGAACATTTTCTTACATGAATGGATCTGATTAGCCCAGGACTCAAACAACTCTGTAGCTCTACTTAATGATAAGGACATTCAAAATCCTTTCCATAATTAATGTGCATACTGACATCTTTTTGATATTCTTCTCAGTGTCCAAGTCACACTAATTTAAATATGAATTTTAGAAAGGACTAACTATTAGTTTGTAGACTCTGTAGACTCTGTTGCAGCTGCACACCCGTGTTTATACTAATATAGCTGCTGCTTTTTTGTCAGGCATCTGCCTCTTTGGTGCATGCTTATATAATCAATAGTGTGTATCTCCAATATGGTAAAAGAAAACTCCTGTTGACGGTTTTGATGACAAAACCGTGTTAACAAATTATGTAAAAAATAATAAATTCTATTAAATCCATTTCATCTGGTCAGTTATTAAATTTCTTTCAAGTCACTGGAATGGACTTGGCACTGCAGAAGTTCAGTGAGAGAATAAACTATTAATCATCTGTTGTGCCATCTGCCCTTACTCAGAGCAACCTGTAGCATCACACTATTTAGCAACACCACACACAAATTATCTACTTGTTCAAAGGTTTGGGATATAAGCTTTCATATTTCGGAAAGATGCGAAGAATAATATTTCTCAGTTAATATTACTGCTGTTTTGCTTGTTCCAGAATCCTTTAATGTTAAATCCCCCACTCCCTAAGTACTTTCGTTTTTCAATCTGTATTTCTTTTTTCTTGTAATTTACAGTGCTCTTCTCCACAAGAATTTTAAATTCATAAATTTTGTTATATGCAGCTAATGATTGAATGTAAGTTGAAATTACTGCTGAGGCTGTTACTGGACAATATCAAAACACCAGATTAAAATCTATGCATAAGCCTAGGGCAGTGATGGCGAACCTTTTAGAGACCAAGTGCCCAAACTGCAACCCAAAACCCACTTATGCATCATTGGGTGCCGAGTGGGTGTGGCCCATTGGCTGGGTGTGGCCAATTGGGGGGTGGCCCATTGGGTGGGCGTGGCTGCGGTGGTAACAGCAGACTGGGTGAGACTAAAAAGTTCAATCAATCAATTCCAACTTTGCAAGATCTTTTTTTTTCCTGCGAGAAGTTGAAATTGACTGATTGATTGAACCCTTTTTTTTTTGCACACGGCGGTAGAGGCCTAAAGCAAAAAGGTTTTATAAAGCCCAACTGAAGCCTAGGATTGGGGCGGCGGCGCGCGTGCCCATAGAGAGGGCTTTGAGTGTCGCTTCTGGCACCCGTGCCATAGGTTCGCCACCACTGGCCTAGGGGTTATTATCTTCTATTTTATGAAGGCTTTGGGGAAGTATTTACCATAGCAAAAGTATAATTCTCCTTTTTAATTGTTCTAAGTATTCCCCTCCATTAAGTTCATTAATTCTTCTCTATACCAATATATCAGCACATTTTTGTACTCTATATCATCAAGGGCTCCACAGTTCAACCCTAAGCTATAAATACTCTCTGCTATTAGAACTTGGGGGGGGGTTCATGAAGTTAGCAGTTATCACACAGATGTCCCCGAACCTGAAAGATGACCCAAACTACTAAATCTGGGCTGTAATGAATTTTGAAATAACATGATGTTATTTGCTAGAACACATATTTACAAAATGGGTTCCATCTCCATGAAACAAGTACTGACCTTTTTGTTTCCAACATGACTTTTCCTCAGGTAACCAATAAGGAGATTCCCCCGCCCCTTTTATTGGCACTTCTAGAAGAAAAGTTATTGTGCCAGATCTTTGGATAGTATTGATGGGTTCTGATTCACTCCAGATGTAATATGACATAGCATGAAACCTATATTCTAAATACCCATAAACACTGTAGAAGAATTGTATGGGAGTTTACAATTTGGAAGGATATTCTGAGCTAATTTATAATTTATCAATAAGAACCTCTTAGAATTGGTCCTTTGGATCTCTGTCATTTTATTCCAGGTCCTGCATGTTGAGCTAGAAGCAATTAATGATTGAACAAGAGAAAACACCAATCACCTCAATTTATGGTCCAAATGAAAAATAAAATTTTATGAAAAAAATCAATCACTTCTTGAATTTGCAGAAAAAGATGTTCTAGTTTTTGGAATATTCTTTGAACTTAGACATTTCTGGATTATGAAAAAATGTATCTGGTAAATGTCCAAAACTGTTATAGATTACATACAGTATCATTATTGTCCCTCTCAGATACAGAGAGCCACAAGTACCCTTCAGAAAAGAAATATACTTATTCTTCCATTCCTAGAAGTTGTTCAAAGAGTGATATGTTCTAGTTCATTCCTAACCAAACATATAGATATGGAAATTGGATCTCTTACCTATGTTGATCATAATCCAATAACTGTAAGCTTACACAGAGGAATCTTCGAGTGGTGGATTGTTTATTATTATTGCTAAAAGAGAATATTAAACTGAAGGATCAATACAGATAAAGAATGTAAACCAATTCAACTTCTGATGGTTATTTACAGTATGGAATTCAAATAAAGCATTTATAAGGAGACTATTTCAATAGCCTCAAATATAAATTTGTTTTAGAACAAAAGATTAAAGCTATCTATACACATATTAACAGAAGTAAATGACACTTATAATAAATTGAACTTTGCCAAACAAAAATATTTTGAAAAGGGCAATAAATTAGATAAACTGCTGGTTATCAATTAGGAAAGGAACAAGACAAAATTCTTATAACTAATTGGGATGGCAACAGATATGTTTCAACAATAGAAAATAAATCAATTTCTTATTATTCCAGACTATGTAGTAAATATTAAATTCAGAACAGTATGAAAATACAAGGCAATTTATAAATTCACAGAATAACAAAATGAAGCTCTTTACAAACCAGTGATAATGTCGAAAAGGAAATAAAAGAAACAATATAAACACCAAAACTGAAGAACCTGATGGATTTTCTACAATATCTTATAAGACTTTCTAAGAAATTGTGATCAAACTATTATCATAGGTAATTAATGAGATTTAACAATGTTCTCTTGGAAGAAAGCTTTAATTTACAGGTAATCTTAACAAAGGCAATTGGAACTGGAATTTCCATTGCTAAGTGACACAGGGATAAAGCACAATTTCACATGATCACGCCACATTCAGCAGCCATCATTAACTGAGGATTGTGCACAGTCCTTTTCTATGCTTATTCTGTACTTTCAAAACAATACTTATTATTGAATAGTCTGTTATATATTGCATTTTTCTACATACTTCAGGCCAAAGTTCTGTACAACCTATCTGGAAGTCTTATGTGTTCCATAGAAGCAATCCAACAATATTTTTTTTTATAATCCAATTTGTTATCCAAGTTAATCAAGTATTTTAGTTACATAACTTACATTTGGATATTGTTAGTCCACCCACCCTGTTCTTTTGAGTCTTCTAAAATCTTAAACCCTATTTTGGATCTTTTATTAAATCATATAAAACCAATCATTTAGTGTTTTTTTCTCAATTCTTTTTAGGGATCATTTGGATCAAAAATTTGGGCCTTGCAAAACATTCAGTTTTACTGCTGTGATTCTTCCAAACATGACAGCTTCAACTTTTTCCATTTTGAAATGCCTTCCATTGTATTTTCCAAATCTGGAAAATACAATGTTTCTTGTGAGGAGACTACAAACTAGCGGTCTCCAGTGGGTTTAGAGTTTTGGGAGGCAAGAGAAATTTTTGCAGTTGACACCTTTCAAAAGAGAAAGAAAAAAAAGGGGGAAACACAACTAAGTAGAGAATGATGGAATGGGTGGAAAACCCAGTTACAAAGTATTAAATATAAGAAACATAACCAAGACCCATAAAGGATATACTAACACTTAAAAGTTTAGGGAAGAAACAGGGTGAACTTGAAGTATTAGTACATGAAGGCAGATATTACATAGTTGCCATTATTGAAACCTGGTGGGATGAAACTCATGACTGGAATGTACTGATGGAAGGATACAAACTATTCAAAAGAAACAGACCTAACAAAAGAGGAGGTAGAGTTGCATTATATATAAAAGATCATTACATCGCTACAGAAATCTACAAAACACCCCAGAAGACAAGCTCAGGATCCAAAAAGATCTTGACAAACTTGGAACAATGGGCCCTATCCAACAACATGAAATTTAATGTGGATAAGGGGCGTTGGTCTTACCTGAACGCCTTTTCTCAGTACGGAGATGGAGAATCCACCGATGGGTTTTCTCTGTCTACCTGCTCTTGAGACCAAGTAGCCAAATTTGACACGCCCCTTCTTGCCAGGG